ATATATATATATTACGATTTATCAAGATTGTACTAAAAATCCTTCGTGAACAAACTCTTATTGAGATTGTTTAGTTTTTTTTTTTATATAATTTTTACATTGTTTTTATAGATATTTTTCGTTAGATCTGTTTAATCTTCGTTGAGTACTGATTACATTCGTAAGTTTCTGTTCCTTTGAAAAGGGTACAGTACATATATATATATATATACATATATATACATATATATATATATAAATATATTTAGGTTTCTTTTTTGTTTTTTTTTTCTTTTTTATACGTGTATACAGTACATTTTACGTTCAAATAAGTGCAGTTTCTTCTATAAAACTGTTTTAATTTATATATCAAACCTTATGTAAAGATAACCCTCGTGGACTGTGATCATTTTGGATAGAGATTTTTCGCTCTAGTAATCCAAATGAACTTTGCGTTATCAATTATCTAATTTGTTTTATTTTTCTTTTCTTTTTTTTTTCTTTTTTTATTCTATTTTCTTTTTTCTTTTTTTAGAGTTATCAATTGTGCCATTCTTTTTTAAATCCTCCTTGCCGTTTTCTCTTGCCATACCAATAATAACTGTTCGGTTTAAGATCGCTCACACTATTATCATACATTTATGTTCGTCGTCAAGTATCTTGTACGTGTTTAAACATTAATTCAACGTCAATATGACGGCGCAGATAGTGTTGAATATGTTTAGGTACTGTATAAATGTAACGTATATGCCTGGTTAGGAATGTGATGCGAATGTTTTCTTTCTTTTATTTTTTTTTTTTTTTTTTTTTCCAAAGAAAAGAAATATTGGAAAAGGTTTCCTATTTGTAGAAATGGTCAAACGTAGATTTGTGCGGTCTTCGCGCAAGAGTTCTCTAAAACTTTTCGTTGAAAGTAGACAAACTAAAATTCCTTTAGTCAAAGAGAAGACAAATATGATAATTAAGAAAAAATAAAATAAGAGGATTTATAAACTGGGGATGATAATTTTTAACAATGTAACGTTGATTACCAACGACACTGACGATGATATCCACCCTGTGTACATTAATATAAACTTTATTGAAGTATTACGTATTTTAAATACACAATACTTCTATACTTAAAGATAGTGTTCAATACAAAATAAGGACGATTAACTATTAAACTGATGCATCTCCGTTTGAAGAATTATTTCATCGATATACAGACAATAGTTCAAATACATTTTCACTTAATTTATCTATATATATAAATGTTAATATTAATTTAATTTTATTTAGTTCAATAATAATGTTTTCTTCCCACACGCGAGCGAAAAGAGTACAATTGGAAGAAAATCCGCTATAAATGAGTTAAAAATTATCCAACAGTTTGAGATCCTCGTTGTTGAAATCTTCCGCATCATGTTTCTAGCGTGATGATACGTTTTTAGCAAGTAACACGAAAATTCAGGTTTCGTCAGACCTCAAGTATAATGATATAATAAGAATATTACATACATAGTATATACTATAAAAGTTGTATATATCTATATATTTATATTTATATATAGATATATATATAGATATATAAATATTATATTATAAAAGTATATAAGAGAATGAGCTGTATTAAAATACTCCATCGCCACGTACTTGTAATCGTAAACAACAACAACAAAAGTAAAGAAAAGAAAAGAAAAACAAAAAAAATAAGAAGAAAAAATAATAAAAAGAAACACACAGAAAGAGTACACTCTAGGATGGTACGTTTTAGCAAGTAAGTTTGTATACAAGAAAACAGTAACAAAAATACGACATTTAATTGGGAATGAGAATAAAATTAGTGCGCCTGCGAAAGCGAGAAAGAAAGAAAGAAAGGAAGGAAGGAAGGAAGGAAGGAAGGAAGGAAGGAAGGAAAGAAGGTAGAATGAGAGTGAGAGCAAGAAAGGATGAAGAGAGAAGAAAAAGGAAAAAGATAAAGAGAAGGAAAAGCCGAAGAAGAGAAAGCGAGATGATAGATGGTGGGTCTTTTAAAATAGAAAGCAAGCCAAATGTGGAACTAAGAAAAGATAATTCGCAATATTATTATGTATGCGTAATTGTCTCGAAACGTTTATAGAAAGGGAGGACAAAAATTATTAACAAAATAGCTTTATGACTTATACAAATGGGAATGAAAGAGAGAAAGAGAGAAAGTGAGAAAGTGAGAGAGAAGAGAGAAGAGAGACAAGTATTTTTTTTCTTTTTTTTTTTTCAAAATCTCTACATCTTTTTAAAAAGATAAAGATTGTGGGAAGTAACGTCACGAAATGTTGGCAGTCTATTTGAGAACCAGTGTTTTCATATTCGACGGAATTTTTTGTACCTTTAAATGTGAAAGAAGAAAAAAGAAATGAAAGAAATTATCCGTCTCGTCGAGTATTTAAAAGTTGGTGTTCCTAAAGAAAATAACATATTTCAAATAGTTCATTCTCTACCTATATCTAATCTCTCTCACTCTTTCTATCTATTTTTCTCATACATACACATACACTCAGTCTCATCTTCATCCCTCTTTCTTCCTCTCTCGCTCTCTTTTTTGAAAAGAAAAGAAAAGAAAGGGGAAAAAAAACAAAAACAAAAAAAATGAAAGGAAAAACAATTCTCCGGTGCCTTCGCATAGCGCTGGAACTTTTATTCGTATCTTCGAAATGTAACTTTTTCAACGAGTGAATTTGAAAGAAATGTAGCGTTGTGCGTGACTTCTTCTTTTTATCGAACACACACACGCGTATACCTGCTCAGCGGTGCGTTACGGGGGGCCAGGGGGTAGGAGATGATAGGGGTAGTTAATTAAAGGAACCCCCACGCAAATTGGAATTTTTATTCGCGGCTAGATTTTGACTGAAATTTCATTTTAGATTTGTTTATTACAAAAATGTGTATGAAACATTGATTTGGAAATTTTGGGACTGAGATTCTCTGTTAATGGGGGAGGGGAAGGTAGGGGTTGGGCCCTTTTTGCACGCTGGATAACGCGCCGCTGTACCTGCTGCTGCTGCTTCCTTCATCTTCTTTTTCGCGTATAAGATCTTTGCGCGTTTTAAGTTCGTGTACGCGAAAGAGAAATAAAGAGAAAAAAATAGAAAAAGAGAGTGAGAGTGAAAGTGTGTGTGTGAGAGAGAGAGAGAGAGAGAAAGAAAGAAAGGTAGAAAGAGACGAAGATAACGGAGAAAAGTAAAATTAAATATTTTTAGTAACTAAAAAAATGATTGTAATCATTGAAAACGACGACGACGACGATGATGATGATAATGATGATGATAATGATGATGATGATGATGATAATGACGATAATGATGATGATAATGAATAACAATAATGATGATAATCATAATGATGGATCATATATGACCGATAAAGAAAAAAGAACATTGACATCCATGTTTGTATCTTTTTTAGAAACTTTTTAGTTCTCTTTTTTGAACATGTCGAACATGTTGTAGAAAATCGGTTTTCGTATTTGATGATTTGAACACGCGTTTAGAGATCGTGTACTTAATAATTCGTGCGACTTAAAACGCAAAATAATATATTTTTGCATTAAGCTATTAGAATCTTTTTCTACACTCTTACATATATATATACATAAAAATATAAATAATTGTATACTTAAATCATAAAGTACTTAGTGTACTTAATTCGATAACTTCGAGTTAAAATAATTAGACATATACTTTGTCGTTCTTACGGCGGCGCGTTATGGTTTCATGGGGGGGTGAAAGGGGTGGGAAGTTGCAAGGTAAATTTTAATTTAGTATATAGTCCACGCATAGCATTGAATTTTTCTTCAATAAAAAATCTCTGGTATACTCTGTTTTATGTTCACATACAAGAAATTAAATAATAATAATAATTGTAGATGTAATTATATATAGAACAAAATTACATACACGATATTAATGTGTTCTACTTAATTCAGGGGTTTCAATCAATTGCATTTTTCGTTCATAAATTAAAACGCGCCGCCTGCAGTTGCACCTTAACTTTTTTATTGTAATATTTTCCTTTTGTCTTTTAACGTAGCAACGTCAAAAATGAAAGGAGGAAAAGGAAGAAGACAAAAAGAATAGAAAGAATGAATGTTGCATCGATGATATTGAGCAATGAAAGTAAACGTTTGATGATGGATCGTCAAATTGATATTGGTTTTTAAGTTAATCGAAAATATTGTTTTAAGAAAAAGAAAATAGAAAGAAAAGATGGAAAGAATGAATGAATGATTCGATGGTGATGATGATGATGATGATGATAATGATGATGATCAATTGATCTCAAAAGATGAAAAATGAAATGTCAGGAAAGGAAGGATTTGTGTTAATAATATTTCTACTCTTTACTCTGGCTCGTTCGGTCGTACATAAACATTTAATAATGTAACAGCGTGTCGATTAGAGATTAACGTCTTCCTATATTTTTTAATGACAGAAGCGTTATCTCTCCTGATTAAATACAAAAAAAGATAGAAAGAAAGAAAGACAAAGACAAAGACGTTCGTCGTTTTTCCATTACGTGGGCATCGTTCGTTATGCTCAAACACGCATTAAAAGTAGATATCGCAAAGTTAACTTTTTCCCGTATACCTGAATAAAATATGTCCTGGATTATCCTGGATTGTCCTGAATTTTCTAGACAAAATGGCACTTTTTACGGTTTACCGTTGTTTAGAATATTAATATTCTAAACAGCTTATTTTATTGTACTGCATTCATACACATTATTGTAATACGCTGTGCATAATATACATATATATATAAATATAAAATAATCTATTGTTCAAAACAATTAGAGGATCATTACTGTGAACTGATTTTTTATAAAGAGAGAGAGAGTAGTAGTATCATCAATCCAAACGAATGATTTGAATTAATCATTTTTCATTGCTTTTTTTATTTATTTCTTTTTTTTACAAAACAACAATTTTAGAAACTGTCTGCCCCCCTCCCGCATTTTGAAACGAGGACAATTATTGCAATAAGCGATCCTTTACTTGTTTTGAACAATTTAAAGATGAAAAACAATTTAAGATGAAAACCTTAGGCCCTTAATTTGTAGGATTAGGGTTTCGAGGCAATAAATAATCGAGAATATACACACAAAATATATGTTACTCATTGTATAAAAGAAAATGATTTCTAGCAATTCTAGATAAGGGCTGGAATGAATAATATCCATGCCTAGGATTAATTATTACGGGAAAGAGTTAAATAGAATATTTTCAAACACAGACCTTTGTGTAATAGCCATTGTTCTCGATGGACAAAGATGAAGAAATTCTTATTTACTTGCGCTAAAAAAATATAAAGAGAAATAAATAAATGAAGAAAGGAAGGAAGAAAGAAAGAAAGAATAATAAATGCATAAAAGAACACACACACACATCCACATCCACACACATACGTATACAACACATATACATACATATAAACATTATTACACACTTCATGTTGTAAATCAAATAGAATTTCTCCGAAGGATGAGTGTGTAATGGATGAGAAAAAATATTTTTCTACGAAACGTCGAAACTCTTAATCGTACTAAAAATCGATCGATAGAGCCAAAAGTGAACTCGATTGAAAGCCTTCGTACAAGAAACGCATGATCTTCGAATGGGTCAAACTAAAAGGTGTGGTTTGCAACCCAAAAAAAAACAAAATAGAAAAGAAAGAAACGATAGGAATGTGGCCTAATCAATCCATTTTAATTATCATTAGTATTATTATTATTATTATTATTAAATATAAAGGTGTAACAAAAGAAATGTAGAATCCTCTATGTTGAAGGAAAAGAATTTATAATTTGTATTCACCGTTTTATTTTCTTAATGTTTAATAGTTTTGTTATAATTTTTGGTACTGTAACTCAACCAACAAATCACATTCCTATCGATTAAAGTAGATATTATTGATTTTTCTTATTTTTTGGGTGCGAACCAACAACAAAAGCCTTGTACTCTCCTCGTTCGTCAATGAAGAACAAACAAACAAACAAACAAATAAAATGTTTTAGTTTGTTCGGTTTGTCGTCGTCCACTTGGTGTGCATGCGTGCGTGTAATAACACAAAAAAATATACGTTTTAAAATGCGTGCGATAATTTTGTCGTCGTGTTGTGTTGTGTAGTAATTAAAAAAAAAGAAAAAGGGTGTGCGAACGAGTGAGAGATGAGAATTACGGATCGATCGAAGGGAAAATTGTGGAAGAATAAGAAGTTACGTATATTTACAAAGAAAAGAAAAGAAAAAAAAAAGAAAAGAAAAGAATATGATGATGATGATGATGATGATGAAGAAGAAGAAGAAGAAGAAGAAGAAGAAGAAGAAGAAAAGAAAAAAAGAAAAAAATTCCTCGACATAGTACAAAGCATTTAAAAAAAGCTCAATCATTTTCTTTTTCTTTTTTTTTTTTTTTTATTCTTAGAGGGGCTCGTCTATTAAAATAAAACATGAAGCAGAAAATTTAGAAAGAACATGATAATGATCTTAAATCAATATATATATATATATATAACCGATAAAAAGATAATATTCTTTTTGTTCAGGCATATCCTAATTTTGTTCTGTTTTCATCATTATTATTATTATTATTATTATTATTATTATTATTATTTCGTGAATAACTTCCTTGTCCTTTAAATCTACAAAAAAAAAAAAAAACCCACCCCCATAAAGTTGAACATTTGTACCGTAGTCTTCCAGGGTACAAAACATGCAGTTCTTTCGTCGTCGTGTATAAATCAAAAGAAATACATACGAAGATTTTGGAATGGGAAAAAAAAGGGAATGAAAAAGAATGTGAGAGAGAGAGAGAGTACGCAATATAAAATAGAATGTATGTGTTTGTTTGTGTGTATGTGTGTGTATGTGTGTGAAAGAGAGATAGAAAAAGGAATAGGAAAAGCGTGAAAAATGGTGGAGAGAAAAAGCATTAAAGGAAAAAGAAATTGAATGGAAAAGAAAGAGATATGAGAAAAACAAAAAGAAAATAAATTGTGTATAACTTAGGCGATCCCTCTGATGATCTCAGCGTTTTATTTTTGTATAGAGTGCATAAAACGTGTAACTTTCAGGAACGCATAAGGGGGAAAGAAATAAACTAAAACAAAAAAAAAAAGATGGATAATTAGGATGAAAAAAACAAAACAAGGGGGGGGGGCTCAAGACTTATATGAATAAGGAAGGAAGATATGAAGAAGATGTGAAGTTGAAGATAAAAGATAAAGAAGAAGAAGAAGAAGATTAAAAAAACACACATGCGTTTAGAAAGATATGTAGGTATAATATAGCAACCATACAGAGAGAAGACGAATTTAGGCTACGAAGTGACGGAAGTTTAAAGTTTGTGAACATTTTTCAAATATTTCCCAGTGCGCTGCTTTATGTAATACCCTACATAATACATATACATATATAAAAATTGTAAAAAAATGCTGGAAAAAGTGCAAACGTCGTTGAAGTTTTATTTTTAACAACCGATCATCCTCGTTTGCTCCCATTTTTCTCTTTTAGAAAGAATAGAATTCTATTTAGAATGAAAAGATATATTCTTTACTCCAAGATCGCAGATTTAAACAAATTTACTTATTTTTTAATATAATAATGAATTTATTTTATCATCACTTTTTGCTACAATCGATAACAGAGCGTTTTCTTTTCTTTCTTTCTTTTTTTTTTTTGTTTTTTTATTATTATTTTTTATGTTAACTGTTTTTCCTTTTCTTTTATTTACTTTCTACCCATCTTGCCTGGCGTGTACATAATCATCTTTGTACACTATTAAAATTATAATACCACAAAATCGATAGACAGTCAATTATTCTCCATAAATATAAATAATATACAAGAATAATACAACATAATAGTATTATTAATAATAATCAAGTAAAATTTATAATAGTACTAAAAAGATGACTGTGAAGCAGTGATAACGGTAGCGGAAGTAGTGGCAATAGGGATTGTAACAATAATAATAATCATATTATAATAAAATAACGATATAATAAGGTATACATATACACGTTCATTTTGTAACGTAAGTATATGTATATGTGAGTCAGTGTATGTTTGTTAATACATGAACAGTGTAAATGTAAAGTACCAACTATTAATTAATTACATTCACTCTTTTTCTTTCTCTCTCTCACTCACTCTTTTTTTAATATTTTTTCTTTTTACCAAAGTTTTATGCACTTAATAACAGACACGCTTTTAGGCAAAATGTCATAAAATATTAAATATCGAATTTGACTCCGCCGTTTCCTCAAAAGATTTATAAATGTGTTCATCTTATTTGCTAATAAGAAAGAATAGAGATATAATAACCATTTGTCGCGTAGTAACTTTTAGCTAACAACATTTAGCGCATTATTCATTTAAACAGTAACGAAAATATTTTTTAAAGATACATAACAGTCGGTGCTTTCCGCGATTATTATTTAACAGAAGTAGTATATAATTTAAATTAAATTCTTTTTTCTCTTTTTCTCTCTCTCTTTTTTCGACTTAGAAGACTAATTTTTGTAAATAAATTATCGCGAGTTAAGTAATATTGACGATATTCATTTGCAACAAATTCAAAAAGGATCCCCGATCGTTTGCTTCTATAAGATAATTAACAATATGTTTCGTTTGCGTGTTAAAGTCGTCTCCTGTCGACTATAATTGACCAAAAATCGCTACGCGATCAACTTGTTGGCCATTCCTGCGGTACATATAATATATTTACAATATATCAAACAAATCAAAGTAATATCTACGATTTTACTTTACTCGCGATCACAGATTTGAATAAAAACATATCAAACGATTATCAATCTGGAAAACTCGTAAATGTAACAAACGGCTGCATAATACAAACTTATTATCAAAATAATGAAAGCTTATTAATAATGTTTCATCTGCTGCTCGTATCGATACACGTTAAGAGGCAATAACGTTGAACTGCTCGATAAATTGTGATTTAGCAATATTATTTTTCTTTCAATATTAATCACAATTGAAAATGTTTTATTAAAATTCTAATAAAGTTCAACCTTGAAAAATTCGTTTTTTTTCCTAAGATATAAAAAAAAAAGATTTCTTTGCTCATGATATTGGTGTAAAAACAATATAACGGTTTTACAGCTAAGTACGCAAAATTGAAAACGGAGGCGGGCCAGCTTGCCTCATCATCATAGCAAAACTACTCAGTCCTTCTTCGTTGGTACTTTGACCATTTTGGTTATTTTGCGAACTATTTAAAATTTTATTTCTACTACTGTTGTGACTCTGTAAATGCTTTTTCAAATGATCTTTCCTATAAAAGGCTTTACCACACTCAGTACAAATTTGATTTTTACTGCCAGAATGAATAATCATGTGGCGTGCAAGATGCTCGTTACGTTTGAATGCCTTACAGCACATATTGCATTGATAAGGTCTATCTTTATTGTGGCCTTGTTTATGTCGATCAAGATGTTCTTTACGTTTCAAGCTTGCACCACAGATATCACAAATATGAGGCCGCTGCCGATGATCCTCCAGGTGTTCATGCAACGCTTCGCGATCTTCAAATCTATATGCGCATTCTGGACAATGATATATCAGCATACCTTTAATAAAATTTGAAACAACATTATGACAACCTTACTGACGTGTGAATATCAAATGTCATTTGAAGTAATATATTTATGATTAAACATTCACCATTAATGTGCTGTGGTTCTACTTCAAATTCAAGCTTGGGTCTAACTTCTTGACAATTGTGTGAAGAATTATTGCTATTATCCTCGTATTTAGTTACATACGGCAAACCTAAAGTACTAGAACAACGTGCCAAATATTCTGAAGTAAGTCTGAAATCTATTTGCAAGGGATCAGTCATCGTAGCTGCATCTACTTTTTGAATGGTTTGTGTGCTGGAAGATTGATGCGATATTTGAGGACATGTCTCCTTATTCCCACAATTATTTTCATTTCTATTTTCATCTGTTTGCTGCACATGCTGTGGTGGATGAGTAGGATACGTATATCCTGTCATGTTTGGTTGTGGATGGTCATGTATTTCAGATGGATATTTCACATTATGTGGATTATAAGCCATGTTATATTAAATCACACTAATTTAACTGCCTTCTAGCATTTGTGCCTATAAAATTGAACAAAATTTTAGATTTTATTTATTATTTTCATATGACATTAAATCATTTTTAAATGGTGAGAAGAGGAACATTTAAATGCTTACCTTCTAACAGTGCTTTTTACAACACCGGCACATTACAAGTTGTTATTTCTTCGTATTAAACTTGATCATTATTACCACATTGTTAATTCATTAAAACTGTAAATGCCTAGAGTTTATAGAAAAAGTTTTGAACAAATCATTTCATCCTGACATGAGAGGACATCCGTTAAAGTAAGTTAATATTCTTTCATAAAAGTTTCCGCTTGTACAATAATTGTCTTCTGCGATATGATATCATTGAATTAAAATTCTGCAATATAAAAAATCGTATCGAATTTATATTATTATATCATCATATGTTAGATTTTTATTTTATTTGTTATATACAATAATTATTTCTACGATAGAATAATTAGAAAATAATCAAAAAATGTTGGAAATCTGAGCGTACATTAAATGCATGCAAATAGAAAATAAAAAATATTGCATTGGTCGGCGAAGAATGTCACCCATGTAATCTCGAATCTCCTTCCTTTGCCTTCAGAAATAACGTCAGAGATTAAAAAAAAGAAGAAGTATTTTCTTACCATGTAACAAGAATTAAATTGACAGAAGAAAGTGAATGGACGAGAACTGATCACCTAATGCACGATTTATATAAAACTAATTTCTAATTATAATCTAAGATTGATTGTGAAATCAAAGAATGTATTTTAACTCGTAACGTTTCGTCAACGTTCGTTACCACGATAAAGAACGAAAAAGTCTGATTGACCAGGTCAGGACAGGTGTTACTCTCCGTCCCTTTCTCTCTCACTCTCCTCTCTCTCTCTCTCTCTTTCTCTTTCATTCTCGACCCCCCACCCTTTCACTCTTTTTCTAATTCTTTCTCTTTCTTTTTTTAATTCCTATTTTTCCAAAGAATTCAGGCTTTTCTTTCCCCGATGAATTTGAAAAAAGTCATTAACCCTAAGCCATAGTTGCAGGACGACAATTTTCCCATCAACATGCACTTACCATCGGGTGATGTTCACGTAGAAAACAGTGACGTTCGTTCCTATTTGTTTGTATCCAGTTCGGCCATCTTTATCTATCAGCTGCTTTGCGATCCGTTCGTACTTTCTCTCTCTTTCTTTCTTTTTCTTTCTTTCTTTTTCTCTTTCTTTTCTGTATCTTTATCTCCGTGATTGTAGAATTACTTGTTCGTCCTTCGTACAGAGTGCATTCTCTTGATAAATCTTTTATCACATATTATTGTTTGCAATGATCTACCTGTTATCGATTTATACACGCATAACGTAATATTTTTATCATATTTTTTAAGTTTCTAATATATATTTAATAAACGTATGCAATTAATGTAAGTAAGATCGAAATGAAAAGGAGAGCATTTAATCGAATTCAAAATAGGCGGCGATATCTTGCTACAATAATAGCGCCTTTTGATTGAACATTTGATTGAACCAATAGTACGCACTTTGTGTACACTACTAGTTATTAAAAGTTACTAGGAAATAAGAAAGTTTCAAATATATTGAAATTCTAGTAAAATGGCTAAGCCGATATCGGTAATAATAGTGTTCTACCTTTATCTTACCAAAAGAATAAAATTTTAACCGCAGAAAGAAAAGAATAATTGCAGATAGTTGCTCACTAATTGCTCATTTAAAACTCATAATTGCTTGCTTTATTTTCGCATTTTTTTTACTGTCGGTAATACGACTTATCGACCGAGATCTGATGGTAAATTACCAACAGTACGTTTACTCCGTCGATAAAACAGAGGATTATTTAATCTGTCGGTAAAACAGATCACTATTACTTTACCGATAAAACAGAATACTATTACTCAGTCGGTAAAACAGTACTTTTTAAAATAATTCACTGCAAAAAAAAAGAATAATTGCGCTTTATTTCTTAGTTATTGCATATTTCAAACCTATAGTTTCTGGCTTTATTTCCGCGTTTTTTTACTGTCGGTAAGGTAAAGGTAGAGCACTACTATTACCATAGTCAGCTTAGCTATGTTACTAGAATTTCAGTATATTTGAGACCTTCTTATTTCCTAATAACTTTTTATAACTAGGTGAGTACACAATGTGAATGTGTAAATAAATTCTATGTACATTTTAAAGCATTTATTTAGAAATCTAATATAGATATTTTATTATATATATTTATATAGTTATATGTATATATATATTTATATTTTAGTGAAATGTTAAAGTTTAAGAGTATGTACAATATATTTTTAAGAAAAATAATAATTTAATCATTAAGGAATCTTTACGTAAAACATATAAACTTTTTTTACATACTACTTATAATTTAAAAAGTGTGTTTGTCAGCTCCGACGTACGACTCGAGTTACGATTAATATATTAGTATTACTAGTCGTTTTAAATGAAAGATCGTTATGACAAAACGTTATATGAAAATGGTAACGTAAAGCTTCGAAATTTAATCGATTGCACTAGAATGAATTATACTTTTTTAAAAAGGTAATTGGTAAATTGATTTTCCTACTTTATCATCGTTAGTAGGAGTCTTTTTAAATTTGAAGAACGTTTGCAATATCCGAATCAAGGGGAATTATAAATATACTACGTAGTAAATAATGCATCTGTTTATTTCTTTTTAATTATATTAAGACCGAATCTATCTTACGAATGTATAAAAATGGTATCGTTAAAGATTTGCCAAGTTTAAATAACGCGCAACTAAACATTTCTAAAAATATATTTCTCACAACAAATAAAAACACATCTTGCAATTAAAGAAACAACGATGATTCAATATCGTCAATATCACAAATTACATTCGATGATACCTCTTTTCGTGATTCATTCGTTCTTCTTGATAATATTCGTTGATTTCACGATATCGAATGAAAAATAAAACAATATATATATATAATAGGGGTCTACCGATATTAGCTACAATATTGTGTGAATCATATCGAGAACCCTCTTGGTCATTCAGTTACCGGCCGGAAGTCATGCGTAAATATGGTAAAAATAAGGAGGCGTTGTTAAAACTATAGTACAAGACAATGTTGTACAATTTTTCTTAATCTTCGAGCCATTCTTTTTTCTTTTGCAATTAATATTTCACGAGTCATAGAAGGACAGATAATCGAAGAGTCAATTAATGTTACGTGTAACAATTATTGGTGCATAAGGAAATTTATAAATACAACGCAGCAACATTAATAATAACAATGTGTCTGTTATAAATATTTTGTTCGAAAAAAACAAAAACAAAAAAACTATGTCATCCCGTAGGATGAAACCAAACGAAAACGGAAGACAACGTTAACACGAAATTACTCGTGGGAGAGTATTTTAACAGGTTCGTTAACGATCGAACGTCAAACATGTCTCTCTCTCTCGCTCTCTCTCTCTCTCTCTCGCTCTCTCTCTCTCTCTCTCTCTCTCTCTCTCGCTCTCTCTCTCTCTCTCTCGCTCTCTCTCTCTCTCTCTCTCTCTCTTTCTCTCTCTCCGATCTATTTTACAGGCGTCGTTACCAACATGATCAAAACGTCGGTTTACGAACGTTCATTCTCACACACACACAGATGATAACGTAAGGCAACATGTGATAGAGTGGGGCAGGTAAAATACACATACACATAGAAAACGTTTTAGAACATTTGGAGATATTCCAAAGTGCTGGCTTTCGCATATGGAATCGAGGTTGTATTCGTACGCTTCTTATATTCGCCTTTTAAACGTGAGGTTTGCGTGACAGTAAAAAGCCTAATCGAAAGCCCTCGTTGTGTTGCTGGTGGTCTTCGTGGCTCGGTTTGGTGTAGGACTCGCGTGGGGAACCCTGACATGCATTCGAATATGGCAAGACACTTAAACGTAGTCTATATTTGGATTTTAATACGATCGCGATCGTTCGATTGTGACCTTTTCAAAGTAGAACAATCAAAAATTTATTAATCTTTTCTTTTTAAATATTAAAAATATATATATATATATATATATATATATATATATATTAAAAAAAAAAGAGGAAGAGAACATTCCTGTGAAAGAGTATCAATCTAATAATGTTTTATTTAACAAACTGACGTTATATCAATTAATTTAATTGTAAATCGATTCGTTAAAATCTAGAAAAAAATTAATACATATTCAATTGACGAGTATACTACCTCCCTCCCTCCCTCCGAATCAAAAACAATTATTATTACGCCTAATATCGAGATACCCAGCGTGTTGTCCACAGATAAGACTGGAAGGATGGAGGGGGTCAGGGATAAGTGATAAACATTTGTAGTATTATGAAAAAAAAAAAAAGAATTGGATGTGTGGGGATGGGGGGGGGGTTAGGAGAAACTTCGTGGGCAATGCACAAAGTGACCATATTTGGTGTTGTTAGATTACGTTCAATACGTGGGCGTGAACCTCGCCACCCTCGTTACTTCGTAACTGAATCGCTCCAGTTACGTCGTGGTACGCACATTCATGATACTAATTAATTTTTGTTGGAAGATGCGACGTTTGACGAAATGAGAATACAAAATTAGAAAGAGAAGAAGAAGAGAGAGGAGGAGGAGGAGGAGGAGGAGGAGGAGGAGGAGGATTAGAAAAGGGAGGAGTGAGAAATAAAAAGGGGGAGGGATGGTTCAAATATGTCGACGTCTGGAAATCGACCTTTATCGTACAGAGGATACCAACATCCGCAGGATAACGACTGGTGGTGTCCCACCACAGGAAGGGGAAGCCCTCTTTTCTTCTCTTCTCTTCTCTTTTCATTTTGCGGATACCAACTCTCTTTCTACCTTATCCCAACTTCACAATCCAAAAGGTTTTATCGATTTCAGATAAAAAAGAAAAAAGAACTACGACATTTCCTCGGAATTTCCGATGAATTTTCTTTTCTACTTTTTTCGAAGTTATTTTTTCCTAATTTTTACTTTTATTTCTCACGTTTATCGTCTTGTCCCCTATTCTATTGATAATTCGATTAGATTTTGAATATATTTTGATATTTTTTATATAAACGTATTCTCTATTGGATGAAGAATTTATAATTTTTTTGTACACAATATATATTTATATACAATTGTATATAAATACATATTGTATATATACATGTATATATAATATACATTTGTACAAAATTGCAAAGGGGTAAATATGTTTCTTTATTTTCTTTTTTTTAGGAAGGGTGACAAAAAATGAAGGAGATATATTTATTATTATTACTGTTTCCTCGTTTTTAAAAATAAACGAATACCAATATATATATATAGTCATTATTATTATTATTATTATTATATCTGCAAAGTGGTTTCCGTGATTTCTCATGCGTCACTAGGTCAGAATATAACTTTCTACCGAGGAACGATGAACCGTTCTCATAAATGTGCTTGATGCCAATTTCCTTATTTCATATATACAAGGTGCGATCAAAGTCTCTTTTTATCAAATTAATTCTATACAATATATATATATATATATATTTATTCAGTCAATTGTAAATATTCAATTTTATTTGCGTTCATTTAAATAAATTGTTCAAATTGGTGTCCATTATACTCAACACAACTAATATATATCGTTTGATTACCGATATGTGACGAATAACACCAATCGAGAATTAATCGTAACACAAATTCTACAACAATTGTTCTTATCAATTGTTAAAAGAAAATTGACTATTATCATATCCACTGTAATAATATGACATTAAAAAAACGTTTACATAAATTATAATAATTTGTTTGTTAGAAGTAAAACGATCTTAAGCAAACTTTTGAATTCGAATTTTCCTCTATCAGTGTGGTGAGGAAATATTTTAATGGAAAAAAATAAAACGAGAACCTCCCCCCTCCTATCCCTGTACCCCATAAAAGATACAACACCAAGTTTAGAAACGATGATTCCGTGCAGTGATATATTATTAATTAAATTTACATCTTCGATCGTATCTTTTGTATTAAAGAAAATAACAAAAGATTTAATTAACGAATTATGTGAAAAAGACGAGAGAAACGGGGTAAAAAAAAAAAAAGAAGAAAAACTATGTCTGCAGATGCGCGCATACGCACAGCCATGGTGCGACGCGCACTTCGATCGAGTCTCTCGGTGATGACCTTGATTTCTGAAGCCGTGAAAAGATCCCGTCGTCGTAGAGTCAATTAAACCAAGCCACCAAGTCATTGACTTCGTCGTTTCACGGCCAATTTCTCATTGGCGTCCTATAATACGGTATTATATGTATAAATTACATGTATATACGTATAGAGACATACACACATACACATACATACATATATATATGTACACGTTGTGCCGAAAAATCTTTTAACGATCTTCTCCCGCCTTTCTTTACATATCATTACAAAAGTTTCATATGATATATACACGACACACTGACTCACTTTTATTTTGAAACGCGTTCTCCATAAAAAAAGAAAAAAAAAAGAACGCCTCCCCCCTCGTTTGGCTAAGAAAAGAAACCGATTTCTAACGATCAACGAGTGTCTTTGAATAAAAAATGGATATTAAAAAATGGCCAGACGGAGAAAGAGAGAGAAAGATTTCAAACTGTTAACTCGAATAAAAAGTAATTTTTATCAGTCCGATGGAAAATATGAAATTGTCGTTCAATTACAGATGATACCCTCTTCACCCCTTTCATCCCTTTGAATCAATCCGATCCAGAGCAACGATATGGAATTATTTCGATGAGAATTATAGTAGAAGAAGAAAAAAATAAACAAAGAAGAAGGATCACGTGTGTACGGTCGAACGAATTTAATTTTATAAAATTAATTATGAAAAAAAAAATATATATTTCTATGGATACATAAAATAATCCTTATATATACGTTCCATACACGTTAAGTATCATAAATAAGCAATGATGATATCCTTAAACTAGGACCTAACAATGTGTCGCGTTGTTGAGTTAGGCCTAGTATCAATCACGTGAGTTTTTAAGGGGGTTTTTCGTGCGTGACGCGTGTCTACCCACGCGCACACGGGGCCTGTGGGGGTTAGGGAATAAAACCCATAGATTTAGGTGTATTAGGATTTAGGATAAAGATAGAGGATATTAGAAAGAAACAGGAGCTTGCATCCATCCTCTTGCTGTGAGTGTATTTGTATCTCTCTCTCTCTCTCTCTCTCTCTTTCTCTCTTTCGATGATTTCAACGGCGCCACCAAGGGGGTGTTGTTTCTATCTCTCTCACTCACTCACTCGTTCGTTCGTTCGTTCAGTCTTTAAACTCTCTGCATGGGGTGAGTCATGGTGTTACCACCACTCCTGGTGCCTGGGCGTGGTGGCCACCACTGCAGACGTCTCTCATCGATCTCTCTACAGCCGTGAAACACCATGGGCCAGAGGAGAGAGTCTCTCTGCTTTTCGGCTGATTCGCGCACGCTCCTCTATACATTTTTCCATCCCTTTTAACCACCCCCATCCTCCCTCCCTTCCCTTCCCAGTTCAACCCCTCAATCCTAACCCAACTACCAAATTATTCTTGATTCACTTGACAGGGGATTGGAAATGTATCAAAAAAAAAAAGAAAAAAGAAAAAAGGCAACTGACACAATGATGATGACGTTTAATATTTTTAAAACTTATCTCGAAAGGAAAAATTGTTTAACAGAAATATAACATTTTTATATTTTAAGTGATTTTAAATGATAATTATTATTGTATTTTGTCATTGTGTGTATGTGTAATTTTATAGATTATAAATTGAAGAATGATTGATAAGAGCTCGTAGGATGACACAGGGTTCTACGATAAATCAAGAATTAGGATAAGTGTGTACATATATATCTTGCGAAGTAGAATAGTATATTTTCTTCAAGTTTCCTATTATAATTAATAAGATATATCTTTTCCCTAATGTGCAAGAAAAGAAAAGAAAAGAAAAGTAGAAGATGGTCAGGGTTCTAAAGAGTCAGCAGGGTTTTAACTAACATTTCCGAAAGGAAAGTACTAGTTTCAAAGACAAACATAATAATGTTAGTATAATAGTAAATTTTCTTCAAGCTTCCTATTATAATTAGTAAGATATATCTTTTCCCTAATGCAAGAAAAAAAAAGAAAAGTAGAAGACGGTCAGGGTTCTAAAGAGTCAGCAGGGTTTTAACTAACATTTCCGAAATAAAAGTAGTATTATAGTTTGAAAAGCAAACATATAGTAATGTTAGTTAGAGATAAAGAATATGGTTGGTATTAGTGTGTAAAGCTAAACTTTTTCGTAAGGAAACCTTTTCGATGATCGAGGACAGCTGCAGAAAACTCCGTAGGATGTCGAAAACTACTACCAACCATATCGTTTCAAATTCGAACGTTCCCCATCTGTGTAGTTAGTTCATCGTCGTCGTTGTGAGTCATCGGTTGCCAGCCGAGTTCACGTATAGACTCATTTCTCTCTCTCTTTCTTTCTCTCTCTTTCGTATTCTCTCTCGTTCATCCACCCCAAAAGGGAGTTCTCGACGAGACTTTCCTATCGAACGGTGAATCCAATTTCTAGTCTATGAGGCTAACTATAATAGAAATGTATCCACAGTATATTATATACACCTTTTAGTAACTATATTTCTCTAAACTATAAATCATTCTTATTTCAAACTTGACACCCCCTATTATATACTATATATAAACTTTGTTTTCATTTTATCATCGATTTAATTTAATGAAATGTTATAAGAAGTTATAAGATATATATATATATGTATCAGAAATTTGTGATCAAAGGATACCTGAGATCAAAGTAATAGTAGGAGTACTTGTATTGTATACCAAAGACTATTCTAGTTTGACCAAATATCCAAAAATGTCGACCCTTTTATCCAGTACCACCAGATCTTTCATAGAAAGTACGAAGTTTTCTTTTCTTCCAACCCCAGACCCACTAGGGCAAAGTTATTTCTAGCTAAGAAAAATGTAGGAGTTCACAAAGAATCGAGTTATTCGACTAGATAGTATAGGAATATAACGGGGCGACAGGTGTCGCGATGAAAGCAGGTTCTTCTGACCGATTTCCAGGCTCGTATCTCGTTTAAATTGTATTTATGCATTTAACGTTAAATATTATTATCTTTGGAATACTTTTATCATTTATTTTCTTTTTCCTTTATAAATTGTTCACACATTTTTTAATCGAAGACAGACGTATTCAGATTTTTCTACCTTGTTTTTTTTTTTGTACATGTCTGTACATTAAAATATGACCGATGAAAATATTTATTTTATCTGGAATAAATAATAAAACACAAATGTATGAGTGTTTTAATGTACGACGTGATAAAATACTCGTTTCAAATTGATATAATTGTTTAAAAAAGGAAGGAAAAGAATAAAACACACATACAGACACACGCGCAAATGTATTGTTCAGGTAGAAGATCTAGATACGGTCCTGGGTCCCCGTTGCTTCTCAAGATCCGTTTCCAGGCTCCCGCGTTCTAGCCCCGGGGCAACGTAAAACACGAAGGAAGAAGAGTTGTGTTCCATTCGTGAACTGAAAAAGTGCAACGTGCTTTGATAATCTGTAACTCTTAGTCCTTTGTAAAATACTTTTTCTTTAGGTACATTTTCACGATTAATAGTATCGTATAGATAACAATGGCAAATATTTTTATGAACGAAAATTCAAGAAAAATATAGAAAATTCCGTGATCACGCAATTATTATTCTCACCTCATTGAATTCAATCTCACGATGAGATTTTAAACTTGCAAATATTGTATTTTTTAATTGCACGTTTATGTCAATGGTATTAGCATAATATTTTACAATGTGAGAAAAGAAACCCCCTCCGATTGCTCCCATTCCTCGTCATCCATTTGATTTTATTCCGTAAAAGAGAAAAAGATAATCAATAAAAAAAGATTTCATACGTTAACAAACTTGAACTTGGAAAATATGTGGAACGCATGCGGTCGTACTGTGCCGTGCCGTTAGACGTCTTGTGGCTTTTATTTTATCTTACGAGACGTTCACTATCGCACATTTTAAATCGTAGACAGTTTAAGAAATGTGGAATAAAATTACACATAGAGTGACAGAGAAAGAGAGAGAGAGAGAGAATCGAAATGGCATTATAAATTAATACGTGGTATGGTGTTTTCTCGGTTGACAATGGGATGTTCGAGATGGGTTTTACGTAGAATATATTGAACATAATGGTTAGTTCAGTAAAGTTTTGACAACCCAAGCCCCTATCTTCTTCAAACGCATACACAAAGAGAAACATTCTTTTCTTTGTTATCAAATTCAACGATGTCCTAGGACCTTTTTTAAGAAAAATCTTTTCTCGTTCCATTAGTACAATCAAACCGTTGATGATTCCTCCCCCTCGTTTTAAAAAAAACACATCGTTTGATCTTATAAATATTTTCTTATAGTAAGAGTATATATTTATATAGGGGAATTGTATTTACAAAGAATTTCGTATGGCATTATAATCGAACGATTATAAACGTTAGTTTGCATTTCGTGTCATTGGATATCTCTTTTATACTTATCACGAATCCATTTTCAAAGCTCATATATCACACCATCGCAAATCATGAGAATATCGTTGCAAAAATTCTCCATTAAATACGATCAACTTAATTCCTTATTTCTACTTTCCAGTCGGTTTATTATGCACAGTTTGCAAATTCGACTAGGGGAAAATTATTATTGTTGTTGTTATCAGTGAATGATTTATATTAATTGTCCAATGATTGTTCAATTATCTTGAACACAAAGTTCGAAATATGATTTTTTGTCTTCGATCGTACGTAAATGAATTCATGAAATTATTATTGATTATTAAACTATGACGCGAATTGGAATGAGTGTTAATTAAAGATTTAAAATCGTATGGGGTTCTAAATCAACTGGTGACGATCCTGGGTTGTTCCCTCGGTATTCCCTTTTACTCTCCCCTCACTTCCTTAACCGCTCATTCTATACGACGAGAGAGTATAACCTACACTCGGTACCACCCATTCATCCATCCGGCAGTTTTTGCCTACCGGTTTAACGAACCTGCACTTCGTTCCAGTTCCATTCAGCTTCGGGAAACCTTTTTTTGCGACTCGGCGACAATTCTACTCGCGAGATCATTGCCGATGAATGAGAGGAAAAGATTAATAAGACGAGAGTTGTTGAATTTCTTTTTATTGTGAAAACAACAACAACGAACACAAAAAAATAAAACAAAATTATCATCCAAATTGATGTGATTAAAACAATTGTCCTTTCAAGGATGCGAACAAACTAAATAAATCATTCGTTTTAGGATTAAAAAAGATGAAGTATTTTGTTAGTTATTTAAATCATATTCTATATTAGGATATATGATTCATTTGATCACTACTCATGGTAGGAATAAGTATACCATATGAAGTATCGGTATAGGTTTTAAATTAAAATCTAACTCCAACGCAATATTTAGAATTAGCAATTGGTGTATGTGTGTGTATGTATCTAAGCAAGAAACGTGAAAGTTTCCCTTAAAAGATCGTGCGAACTTGAAATATAATCAATCTATCCATAGATTTTTCTACGTGCGTGTTATATTATGTTGTGTTTTCACGAACACGAACATAAACACGAACATGAACACGCATGCACGCGTGTGAATAAGCGTCTCAGGCCAAGTGCAGCGTTCTCGTTACATACGAAAGTAGGGCAGCAATACTTCTACTCGAAGACAGTGCGTCTCACTTACATAAAAATGCGACCAGTTTCCTTGTTCAAATAATGTTGCTACTTCTTCTTCTTCTTATTCTTCTTATTTTCTATCTTATCTGTGACTACCTAGAAAAAAAAAAATTGCATCTCTCGAACCAGGATGCATTTTACCCCCTTAAACGTGTTACATTTATTTCATTGCAAACAAATAATCCCTATGACAAATGTTTCGTTTAAGAAAATAAACATTTTCTTTTTGTTTCTCGTTGAAACAATAAAATGTGTTAACAAAGCAGTAACGGTTATCGAACTGGTTCCCCCCATCATCATCATCATCATCATCATATCACCGTGTTCGAGAGAGCATGAACATTCCTGCAGAATGAAATAATTGTAATTATTATTTATCTTAAAAAGTAGTACACACACGCGTGAACAAATATATATATGTATATGTATGCAGATGTCTATCCTGTTTCCAACAGAAAAGAACCTTTCGGAAGATGCATCCGGACGTTTCGATTGTATCGTGACTGTTCCCCCCTTTCCCCCCACCCCCCACCGCCTCTCGAGCTTCGTAAGAATTCAAGAAGCATTCGTCGCTTATAAATAGCCATTTCCGTTTGGACAGGTAGCAAGGATCGATTATGTTTATTCCGTTTGTATAATTCACTACGATGTGTCCGATAATATGAACAATTTTGTTCAATTTCTTTTGTTACATAAATTATGAACAAATTTGTTTAGGATTTAACAAGAGTAAATCCCTTACACACACACACAGATATTTCATACTAATACATAGATTTAATAAATGTATATGATTTGAATTGACACTCTATCAATATTAGGAAATTAGAGTTTTTCATATAAATTGAAATAATTGATAAAACTGTAATTGGATTTTTGTTTTGTTTTTTTTTTTTTCAAATAGAGTTTCGAGCATATTTATATATCGCAATTCAAGTTAGTCTTAAGATTTTTTATAAATAGAGGTTTCTTACCAACGACAAGTAGTAGCAGCAGCAGCAGCAGCAGCAGCAGTAACAAGATAGATTTCTTTAAAGCAAATAATAAACGACGAGAAATTCTTAAACAGCACAAGCATCGTCTGACCGCAAAACTCGACACTGCTGCGAACGAGCAAAGAGAATTACTAAGAAAGATTTTTCCTTCAGTTTTATTATTTCTCATCGAGAGTTAAAAGATTAAACGCTTGATAGAATAAATTACTATATATATCGTTTGAATAATTATATATTGAAAGTAAATTAATTTGATTTCGTGTTAATAAAAATATTGGTGATCTTACAATTAGAAAAAAAACTGTTTGCAACGATGATTTCAAGTATTTTTAACTTCAATAAATTTAGTTAATTACAAAACGAGATAATATTTGATTTTGTGAACGCGATGATTTAAAATAATTTACCTTTTTCGGTAATCCTGACGTTTCACGACCGTGTTCCGAATCCTTGACCCCCCTTATGAGTGAACTTACAAAGAACTGTCCTGAGGAAATGAAGTCAAGAACACAACTAACGTACCAACATACATGCATACATATGTTGGAAACATGCAACGTTTTAGCCCGGTAACATGCTCGACCACCGTATATACGTTTTACCGGTTGTCTACCTGTTCTGGATCACTCAGTGTCTTGTCTACAAGGTCAAATTCATGAAGAATCCAACTTGTTCTGACCTCGACGACGACAACGACGACTACGACACTCTACGTATATCACGATTATCTCGAGGTCGTCTCTTGCAAATTTTCTTATTCTCGTCCTTCATAATACTAATCTAACTATTACTTCACTTTACTAAACCTTTTTTCAAACTCCATTCCGTAATTTTTAATATGATAATTTCGTCTGTGTCTATCTTTTTTCTTGCTTGCTTTTTTTTTTTCTTCTTCTTCTAATTTTCATAAATTAAAATAATAAATAAGATATTACGAAACGTTGATTTTTCAAATTACGTAATAAAAGAAGTATCCTTTAACAGGTTCTCTTCTTGAATAATAAATTGTTAACCTAAAATCTTTAGGTTTAATCGTTACACGATAATAATATTCGATTTTTCAGATACTTATCTTATCAGTTAGATAAGAAAAGTTAATATTGGAAATGAATTAAGGAAAATTCAATTTTTTATATAATACTAATACGTTTTAATAGTTTCTCTTATTTTGTCACTCACATATTATATTAACTAAACTTTCTCTTTTCAAACTAAATTATCTAGTATATCAGTCAGCTTAATGGAATCCTAAAGAATTTCGTTATCGTGTTTTCGTAGAAATTTTATATAGAAAAACTAATATGACGATTTATTCTATGACGCATTGAATATCTTTCCGTGATGTCAAACTACGTTATAATCATACTAATAGCATGATTATTCAAGTACACGTAATCGAAGTTTGCGTATTTGATAAAAATTCAAGTTGAAGTGTTTGTAGCTGTTGTTTTTCGATATTAAATTGTAAACCATGTGAAAAATCGTAGAATAAGTTTGAAGATAAAAATAATGAAGCAAGTACAAAATCAATAAAAAAAAAAAGGAAGGGATAAGATAAAAAAAAACAGATGATCATAGTAAGATTGTATAAATCGAGACAACGTTCTTCAATGGCGATCGCGTAGCATGCGAAGAATCCGGCGCAGGAGGAGTGACGACGATAAATAACGCGATCGCTATATTTAGTTGTTCTTTGTATGAGAAAGAAAAAGAAAGAAACTGAGAGAGATATATATATATATATATATTTCATACACACTCATACGAATGCATTCGTGTACGTTTCTTCTTCTTTCTCGATCTCTTTACTGACTTCTTTCAAGTATTTGTCGTAGAAGTCGTTATGGTCGTGACAAGTCAGCTGACGATAAAGGCAACGATGATGATAATAAGCTCGTTTTGTTGTATCTACGTTAATACTTGCGTATACGTATCGTCACACACATTTACTCACATATATAACCCCCTCTTACATATATAGTTCGCGTGAGATGGTTTGTGAATACAACCGAAGGCAAACTCGAATGATGATTCAAACCAATGACGTCTGCATCCAAGTGTTTCGTGCTATTTTACTAATTTCTTCTTCTTATCCGTGAACGTTTAAAAAAAAAGAAAACATATTTCTTAACATGGAACGAAATTTTAACTGATATTGTAATAGCGTTAAAGATATATATATATATACTTATATGTATATTTTATTGTAGTTTTTATTTAGAAATGAATAATGCATTAGTTTTTTTTTAAATGTTTTATCTATCATCTATTCGTAATATCAGTGAATCTACTTTTCAAATGATATAATATATTATAACAATGAAATGTAATTATAGATTGAAATAATTTTCAAATATCTCAAGCTCATTATAAGAATCATTTTAACAGTAATATACAAAAATTACAAGTATTGTATTCATTATTTTAAGATAAATGATATAAGGATTTTATTGTTGTTAGATTTTAAATCATTTTCTAATACGATTAAAAAAGATGGCGTGTGCACACACATGCACACACGCACACACACGGGGTAATATTTCACAAGAGTTGGCATGAAGATAGATGAAGAAACTGTGAGCATAGTTAGTTACCGGTGTGTTATATCTGATCACTCTTCCGATACGATTAACAACGAAGAGGAGCATGACCATGCGAGTATCCGTTTACCGTAAAAAGCCAATTTTCGCGAGAACGGTGAACACCCGTTGTTAGAGAAATACATGATGCCCCGATCTTTGGGCATTAATTGTTAAGATTTAACGAGGCGTTTATGTTGCTATCTGAAAATAAGAATATTTACGCACTTGGCTGATCATCGTCACCATCTCGTAAATAATTCTTCTGCCGGTACAAGTCTCATTTCGAGGCTAATTGAGACATTGATTTCGACACTAATTAAGAAAATTAAATATCGTAATTAAAATAATATGTACAAGAATAATCAATCCTTACAAGACACAACTTGGACTAGCTCCATTTTTGTTCGAAAAATTTCACTTCTTTTAATCGTTAGAACACGTTTATAACTTGGCAGAAGTCCTGGCACGTTTGTAAAGGATCAAAAAGGAAATTGGAGACAAGTCAGAGGATCGTTTTCTTAACATTGAAAGTTCTTTACCGAAAGTCAAAGTCCTAGGTAAGATGTTGGAGGTATCTAAGATAGGTCTACGACCTCCTAAGTAAGATTCCAAACGATTTGATCGTCTGGAGGGTATCCCGACGGATTTTCGTCGTCGTAGTCGTAGTCGTCCAACGGGAAAAAGCCTTAAGCGTTCCTCTTCTGGGTGGGTACGTTGAACTTACCGTCGCATTCTGTATTGATTTCGGTCGCGGAGAGGCAGACGTTACCTACGGCACGTATTCGCGAACAGCACGGCACGCCCATATCGAGAAAGAATTTATTTCTACCATTTTATTTTATTATTATCATTGATATTGTCAAATAATGATAATCCAATGATGATTCTTCTTTCTCATTATCGACACTTTCGGTATAATTATTCGGTATAATTAAAAGGGGATGACTCGAATAGGATGAAACTGAACGTCGTTATGCCAACATTGGCTTGCACGCTTATAAAAGGGGGGCCTTACGCAAGGCCCCGAAGACCTTGAACGGGACCTTATTTGGTGGACAAGGTCGAGGCTACGCGGGCCATTGGGTTTTCAGGTCGAACGCGACCAACTTCTACGTTGTCTTTGGTTTCCTTTGGTATTCCAATGTACACGAAGTGTACACAGATGCATTCCTCTTGGTTACGATCTACTTGCAATAATCAAAATCAAGATCCCATAGCAGCTAAGACGTACACGAGTTAACAGACAATTTCTACTCTCTTCCTTTCTAGAATTTTTTTCCAAATCCACAGTCCGATGTTAATTCTGCAAGACTTTCTAGAATTAATAGAATATATTTGCTGTATTGGACTTTGATAATAATTCCCTAGTCTGCCTGCGAGAGAATCGGTTTTTTTTCTCATTCGTTTTGATTCAATTGAGATATGTCCAATATGGAGACAGGATAAATTAATGAACGAAATGAAGTCTACCATCAGAGTTGTCTCTATCTTTTTCCGTTTCATTATTCCAGACTCCATGTTGTTTTCTCTTTCTCTCTTGAGCATCCATCGGTCGATATTCAACGGCATTGATCGTCGAGGGCTCGAACCACGAGGTGGTGAGGAACCCTTCGCGATCTGACGTTTCTCCTTCGCCACGTGGGTTTCTCGTTCACCGACTCGGCTATCTTCGTAGTCGTCGTAGTCATCGTCGGGGCGCAGACTGCACGGATACCCGGCGACGTATCGATTTTCAAGGAGATACTGCACCCGCGAACGCACCGACTCACCAACCTCATACAAAGAGAGAATGAATACGAGAAAGGGATAAGAAGAAAGAGAGAAAGAGAGAGAGAGTTCGTACTAACACATATACGAAGGGAAAATACTTGTATGCACTCCTGCCTTGTAGCCAAGCCCTACGTGACGTGGCAATAGTCCAGTGCACCCTTGTCCGCGCCCTTGAATCTATTTTTGGCTGATCTTCCGTACAAGAAATACATGAAAGGGAGACATTTACTCGTTGGTCCAGGTTCCTAGCCCTATGAGGAAGTCATTCTTCTTATGAATAATTAATTATTTTATCATTAAGATTATAATAATAATAATATGCATAATTATTTACGGATATATAATGTAATTACGATTTAAAAAAAAGAATTATGAAAGAAACTCTGACGATTCTAGACAGGGGGCCATCTTGAATGAATTTTTATTCGACGATCATTGCAATTAAATTCGATGCACAAACTCGAATTATAGAATTAATTATGCAATTATTTATTTTATAGAATCTGGGGGGTTTTCTTTTTTGGGTGGATTACTTTATATACATTTATGTTTAACAAAAAATATCTTCTTTATCATTGGTCGATGCTGCAGTACTGCTGACGAGGAGGGTTCGTCCGTTTCTTTTCCGGGAACATTATATGCACGTCGATATAATCCTGTTAGTCCGAATCGCTTGGCTGCATAAGCGAACTCGATTGGATAGGACATCGAACGTCAAAAAATCATCTTCGTTTTTATTCGATAAAGACTTTTTTTACTTATTTTATATGTGTTCCTCTCTTTTTTTTTATGATAAAAATATAATTTTAAAGATAATATGACAAACGTTTATACGCCAGGAGAAAACACATTGCTAAGCTATTTTCACTTGCATATATTATTTTTCTATTTACGCGCATATTATTTTCTTAAACGCGTTATTCTTCATATAAAAATCCAATAAAATTATTCGAATTGTTGAGCAAGATTTTATCCATGTCATTTGTGTATATTGTTTGTGTTATACTCGACGATATTAATTGAATTAATCATTTTTTTTCAACGGTAAATATTAAATATTTTCTTTTTTATATGTGATTATACTTATCAGTAAAGATTATAAATCAGATATGATTCCAATGAATCAAGCCTTAAATGGAAATTCGTATTACGTGTCGTTTTCAACAAACATTTTATCTAACAATATTTAAAAAATAAATAGACAATCAAAAGTTTTCATAATTCTCGTATATGATTATAAAGAACAAATGATGTGACTCTAAAGAATGACAACGTTGAACAAAAACTTCTTTCCTATTTTGTTAAATGTGTTAACAATAACCTTGCCTTTTAGAAATTATTTTAATCATTTCTCGTGCTGATAAGTTTATATTTGAAAGTTTACGACTCTCTTAGATAGCATAACTTACTTAAATTGTTTTTCTTTTTTCTCTCTCTCTCTCTCTTTCTTGCACCCAAGCCTATAATATATTTAAATCGTAAAATGCGATTAAAATACGTCAAGCACTCTCACATTAAAGAGAAAGATACTAATATCTATATACATATGCATAGATATCTGACTTATACATTCTAAAATGAATAAGTTCGAGTTCTCTGTCATGGAGCATTGCTAATCGTGTGAACAACATTTTGAAGTCAAAGGAAAGCGCAGTCTCACGAAAACTTCTGACTATTTCTCATGACTCACCCTGTACCTTACCATTGGGAGAGTACTCTCCTTTCGTACCTACAAATATATGTGCATATGAAACGTTGTGTATGCATGCATGCATTTATGCGTGTGCGTAAGTATATATACGTGCGTGCATATGATGCGTGCGCTCATATATATGTATTAGTGCATACGATCGTGTGTCGCATGCAGCTCCGTTACAAGATATACACGTAAGTATGTTACGCACGATAATATGCACACACGTTCTCTTTTCTACTAACACATTCTTAGAACGGTTAGTCAGTCAGGCGGGGAACCCTTACGTACTAGTGTGTACGCATCCAGAAGGCATTATACTCCCCGTATCGTACAGTTTGAAGCGGCATTTGGAGAATCTAGCCGGCAGCCGGTCGACCGACCAATCAGCGAGCCGCTTTCGTTTTATGCCCATATATGGCAAGAGCTGTGAATCCGCAGGGTGGGGGAACCGCCGGCTGGACGAGTCCATTTCAATCTCTTCGTGGGGCGGGGTGGTGGAGGGTAGAAGGGGGTCTCGCATAAGATGAACATCATTTTCTATAAAAAAAATGATAATACATGTTGCAACGAATGATATTGGATGAATAATTAATCTGAATATTATTGTCCTCATTATGTATATTTCCATAATTTCTTTTAAATCGAAAAATAAAAATAAAAAAAACAATCGCTTATATTATTCGATCGGTCTGAAGTATATCGCATAGTCTCGTGGTATACCGACCACACCTACGGGCGAGTCCACAGGACGCGGTAGGAGCCACGATCTCGCTCACAGTCCTCGCAACTCGCGACCCCTCAAGTCTCATTCGTACTTCGTGCCTGAAAGTAGTATCCTTGTGGTGGCCCTTCGTCGATCAACGGACGTGTACTCTCGACCAGTTCGACGCCTCTTTGTGTTTCCTAACTCTTTTCAAAGGTAAGTCCCTAATATTCCCTAATATCTTTAAATTAACGTATTTTTGTATTCAAATATTATTAATAATTATTGAATCTATTAGAAATATTCATTCTATGTAATGAAATTTATTAGAGAAACGACACGAGAAGGGAAATGAAAAGAAGCCGGTCGTGAACGAAGAAGACCGGCCATGTTGGTAGGGCGTTGCTCTCCTCTTTCGTTACAACTTCGAAATTTCTCGAAAGATATTTTCTTTCGATTATTATCGTACATAATTATCGTGTTTAGATTAATCGATATTATTATTATGTCGCTTTTACGCGGTTTTTTATTTAAAAAAAAAATAATTCTCTTTTCAATTGGAAGAAAACTGGCTTGGGCCATTTGAAGCGATCCGACAGGTTGCCGGCGTCAAGTGGTCGTTCGGTTCGGTTCGTTCGTTCGTACGTTCATACGTTCGTTCGTTCCGTTCGTTCCCCTGACACACACGTTTAGCAGAACACGTAGTCGTCTTCTCTTTCCTCGCAGGTGGTCGCGACCAAACGGTGCTTTATTAATAGCACTCGTTCTATATACTTCTTGTACGTTTCTCTCGCACGCTTTGCGAACAACGGCCACTAACCTATCTACGATTTATGTGCCACTAATGATCATCATCCTCTATATCCTTTTCAATAGCCAACAGAGAGAGAGAGAAAAAAACCACACCAGAATTCTTTTTAGTTCTTTTGTATTCTTTATCTTCTTTTTATCTACAAATTTTAACCCCTAAAAAATGACTCTCTAACGCGTTTTTTTTTTCCTTTCAAACTTTTACAACCCACGATAATAGTGTTTGACAATATTTTTTTACCAAATTCGTTTTTTTATTTTCTTTTTTAAATATATTTGTATTTTTATTCCTAGGGACTAAAAAAGATTTCAAAATCCCGACCATGAAATGTAAAATTAGAGAAGAGTAGTTATTGTTGGGACATAATCGTGTCGTACCAGGGGCGTGATCCTCGACACTCTTTTATTCTTTTCTTTCCTTTCCTTTCCTTTCCTTTTTTTCTTTCTTTCTTTCTTTTTCTTCTCGCATTTCAAATTCTCAGCACGTTCGTCGACTCTTTCAATTGGTAATACTGAAATCAATTGAGAGTCTCTCTCTCTCTTTCTGGCAAATTTAAAACGTCACCTTGAAAAAAATGAAAATACTTTCGTAATATCTCACGACGATTGTTTATTTTTTTCGAGAGAATTCATTATTTAAAAATAATCTTAAAGTCGAGTGCTTGGTGATCTTCACGATTAAAGTTTAAGCGATTATATTTATTTGGATTAGAATTTTCGCGTAATAATCGCTTCTCTTAAATCGTGAAGGTTTAAACTTGGTGTGATAAAAATTTGTCGTCACAAAATGTTTTAATCACCAGGCACGTAGAGACGAATAAAAAATATATAAACTAACGTTTGCCCAATCTCCTCCCACCCCACGATTGCACAAAAAATTTAAGCGCAAATTAAAAAATAACTTTGTACTGTCATTTAGCAGTTGTCTATTCCACCAACCAACCCCCTCTCCACCCCTTGCTATTTAGAAATGCACAAATCAGTACTTATGCACGCCACTAAAACACGAAATCCCTCGGCATTTTGTTAGCGTAACATTTCCAACCAGTTTTTTTTCTCTCGCTTAATAACCAGTTAAACAAACAAAAAGGAATATCTCTGTTTGGTTGAAAAATTGTTTATCAATTTATTGTAAAAATCTAGCCAAGTATTTTTCTTATTCTTATTTTTCTAAGTTAGACATTTTATTGAATATCTTAGATATATGTTTTAACAATCATTATAATTCTTTGCATTGCTTTGAAAATGATCTCAGCATTAGAGTTTTACAACTTGAATATTAGAAAGCACGTGGCTTCGTTTCTAATGTGTCCTTCGTAGTAATACCTAAGAAAAAATTCCACGAGAGATAACGGATAAATTATCATAATCTAGCGATGAGTAATCGTTTTACAACGAAACAGAGATAAAGTCTCAACGTAAAAAAAAATAAACTACAAAGAAAGTAATAAATGATATAAAAATTAAAATTATTAACTTATAACAATGAATTATTATATATTTCGTAAAATATATCAGTTTATCTTTCCAATCGAAAACGTCACAATTGCATACGGAGATTGTCCTTTACCGGAAATGGCATTCCTTGTATTGCGTAAAAAAAAAAAAAAAAATAAAAGAGAGAAAGAAATTCATTGATATTGGAGTACACAAGGAACGAAGAAGAATTTCTTATGAACATTCGTCGAAGGGAAGAAAGAAAGAAAGAAACGAATGGTGCAGGGCAGGAAAGGTTAGGTGAGGGGAGTAGTGAGGATTATGATAGAGAAGATGAGTGGTTCAGGAGGGGTTGGAAGGGGGAAGAAGGTAGCACGTTGGCAAGAGTTCGTGAGATGTTCGGTTCAGGCAATTCGAGCGCGATGCACAATTGTGGTGGTGGTGTAGTAGTGTTGGTGAGGGGTTGGAGAGACGTGAGGGAGTGGTGCAAGCAGTGGGGGCTGCAAATAGAAATAGTGGGGATGGCCCCCACCGTGGCGGAGCAGTTCCATATATGGTAAAGAGAGCCAGGATTGGCGGAGGGTGTCCTGCCCTTATTGGTTGACGATCAGAATGGTGGAGAGGGTCCGCCAAGAGGACGACGCTCTTCGTATAATACACTGTGCGCTTTTCTGTCAAGCTACACTCTGTGTTTGGTGCTAGATCGGTCCACAGTGTCGGCGGTTGTTCTTACGGACGGACAAGACACTGAATTCTTCCTATATAACTTGTACATATAACAAGTCTCTATCTTATTCTCTATTTTAACGCGAACCTTAGTAAGTTTCATTGATTTTTTACAACAAACAAAAAAAGTAAAGACTATTTAGAATAGCCAGTGGTGATTTTTAATATATAATAATATTATTGTTACTAAATAATTATTATATTTTATATATAGTGGATATTGAGAAATTTCGAAGAAGAGAATAATCATAGATTTCAACCGGTCCCCCCCGAGGATTCCTCTTTTTCTTCGTAGTGCTGTTGCAACACACCGATCGTTTCGGAAGTGTCGAGATGCTGTTTAACGTTTATTTCCTTGAAATATTTCTCTAATTGTCAATTGAAAGTCAAAATAATTTTAAAAGTGGGGTGTGTTCGAATTCAACGTAAACGCGCGTGAAGTCATATTATTGGAAAGGTGTTTTGTGAGATAATATTCTTCATCTTATTCTTCCTCTTGTTGTTCCCACTTTTAAACGAATCCGTTCTTTTCTCTTGACGATTATTTCATTACTATTTGCCGCTCGATGGCGCTTGTAACACCATGAATCTTCGATTTTCTATATCGACTACGATCGAATCTTCTATCTTCGATCTTTGTTCCTTCTCAAAAATCGATTACAAAGAACTGGGATTCTTTATTATTCAAGAGCTTAAAAAGAAAATCAAATAGGAGTTATTGAAGGTGTGGAAAATTTATCGAAGATACGAATAAACAACATTTTTTACAGACGATTGGAAATTCTTCATCGGTTGGCGACCGTTTAGCCGGGGAAGGGCGGGGCAGGGTGCGGTCATTCCATCGTGACGTGTACACTAGCTAGCTGACTCGCCCATATCGGTTCTCCAATTTTTTTTCCTTCCTTTAATATTCTTCTTGCTATTTAAAATTTTAAATAGATTTCTTTTCCTTTTTTTTTTATATTGGTACAATCGATTTCTTTTTATTTTTTTATATTGGCAGAAATCTTGTACTACTTTTATTTGAACAATAGTAGAGGTATAGCAGGTATAATAATTGTTTTCTTTTTCCTTGACCGTATCGATTTCCTTTTCTTTTGTTCCCTTCACGTTTATCATCTTACAATAGTTTTGAAGGAAGGTGAGAACTTTCTTTATTCAAACCTCGTTTAGTATGACGAGGATCCTTAGGCGCCATCTTGAAATGTTCCTTCTCAGGTAGCTCGACGCCCCACGGATAGTTCGTTTATATTATACAACTCAATTTGTAACTATAGAATTCGATAGAAATATAATTATTAATCCATGTACTTTTATATATTTTTTAAAATATCTAATTATTAGTAATAACTTATAATAATTTATATTATTACTTCGTATTATATTGTAATAATTAATTAATGTCGACAATACAGAAAGACTAATTATAGTTGTTATTTTCAGGAAAAAAAGCATAAACAAACATGTGTGACGAGGAAGTTGCCGCACTCGTTGTTGACAATGGTTCCGGTATGTGCAAAGCTGGTTTTGCCGGAGACGATGCACCTCGTGCCGTCTTTCCATCCATTGTTGGCAGACCACGCCACCAGGGTGTCATGGTAGGCATGGGACAAAAAGATTCGTACGTCGGAGATGAAGCTCAATCAAAGAGAGGTATCCTAACTTTGAAATACCCGATTGAACATGGAATCGTCACCAACTGGGATGACATGGAAAAGATTTGGCACCACACTTTCTACAACGAACTTCGAGTAGCACCAGAGGAGCACCCAGTTCTCCTTACGGAAGCTCCATTGAATCCTAAAGCAAATCGCGAAAAGATGACGCAGATCATGTTCGAGACGTTCAATACACCAGCTATGTACGTCGCTATTCAAGCTGTACTATCTCTGTATGCTTCCGGTCGTACCACCGGTATTGTATTGGATTCCGGTGACGGTGTATCTCACACCGTACCGATTTACGAAGGATATGCTTTACCACACGCTATCCTTCGTCTCGATTTAGCTGGTCGTGATCTTACCGACTACCTCATGAAGATCCTCACCGAGAGAGGATACTCATTCACCACCACGGCCGAGCGTGAAATTGTACGTGACATCAAGGAAAAACTTTGCTACGTTGCATTGGACTTCGAGCAAGAAATGGCTACTGCTGCATCATCATCTAGCTTGGAAAAGAGCTATGAACTTCCCGATGGTCAAGTTATCACCATCGGCAATGAAAGATTCCGTTGTCCCGAGGCATTATTCCAACCATCGTTCTTGGGTATGGAAGCTTGCGGCATCCATGAGACCACTTACAATTCAATCATGAAGTGCGATGTCGATATTCGTAAGGACCTCTATGCTAACACCGTTCTCTCCGGCGGTACCACCATGTACCCAGGCATCGCTGATAGAATGCAGAAGGAGATCACTGCCTTGGCTCCATCCACCATGAAGATTAAGATTATCGCACCACCCGAAAGGAAATATTCCGTATGGATCGGTGGATCCATTCTCGCCTCGCTATCCACCTTCCAGCAAATGTGGATCTCTAAGCAAGAGTATGACGAGTCTGGGCCATCCATCGTTCACAGGAAGTGCTTCTAAATGCATTTGATATTCCTTTTCCCATACTATCATTCCCCGAAATCCCGATATGCGCGGGATCGTAGTGCGGTGAACGGCCCTTCGCGCCCCCGAGCTAATATCTCGAGGTTCACTACACTACCAGCAGCGTGTGTGGTGGGTGGCCTCGCGCGATGCAATGGAAGTAAGTTATGACCTTTGCTCTTGCGTTATTAAAAGGAGAGAAGATTAGACGTTCGTTTCGACGATGATTTCGATATTTTACACCTGCTCGTTGTTCTTTCCTAAAAAGCGAGAGAATCCTTTTTTTTTTTATCTTATTTCAGTTTCTTATTTCCTTTCTCATTTGTCAACTCTCTCTCTCTCGTTTTATTTTTCTCTCTCTCTCTCTTTATATATATTTCTCATTCACGTCTGACGAGTAGTTGATTTTTCTCATCTATCGTATATTATCGTCGTTCATCGTCGTCGTTGTCGTCATCGAAAGGAACGTCCCTTTTAATAATACGCGGTGACAGTATTATAATTTATTTCTATTGTCTTGTGCAAGACCACGCACGACACAAATGAAACACACGTTACGAATTACATACGTACTACATATTCGCATACTACACTCTCTATCACATACACATACACAGACACAAAATACACACACAAATCACATACATCTTAAAGACTACTTTAGACTTATGGTATTATAAAATAAAACTCTTAAAAACACGATCAACTTGGACTCTTGTGTCTTTTAAGATCAGTTATTATCCAGATCCTTTTTAATATAAACGCATCCCTATGAATGAAAGAATGAATAATAAATAGAAAATAAAAATAAAAGAAAGAGAAGAACCCTCGTCGCCACACCTCGCACTACGACGATGCATAAAAAGAAAAAAGACAAAAAAAAATTAAAAAAATAATAAACTTGTGCGTATAAGAAAAATTTATCACCAAGCTTCGGTTTTCATGGATAATCTAATTAATCTCATCATCGAATCACGCGAAATCCTTTTTATACATAATTGTAGCTTTTGTACCGTTCGACGTCGTTGATTGTAACGTAAGATTTGTGGTGAAAAAGAAAAATGGAGATGAAAAGGAAAAGTATAGAAGAACGTAAAGAAAAAAGATAATACTTAACATATAATTAATTACTCTAAGAATTTAATTAGGTTTATATTTTCAGTCGAATAAAAATTATTTTCAATCAATTTCCACACCGTGTGTTGATCTTCTTCCGCGACGATGCGTATTCGTCTTGTATAAAAGAATAAAGAAATAATAGAGAGAGAGAAAAAAATGATAAAAATACTTTATATAAACTATACTTCGTTATTATTATTATTAATATTATAATAAATTAATAAGCACGAGTCCAGTAAGCTGATTTGCGTGTACAATATTCTCTCTTTCTCTTTTCAATGAATTTGTTACATATTGTTACAGTTAAACGTCGATTATCCGGCAATGATTAAGTCTCTGTTGTCATCACTATTAACAAATAACAGCAACAACAACAACAACCTATGTATAACGTAACAAGAAAACATCTTAGACATATTTAATGCATGAATACCAATAATAAACGTATGCATTTATATCAACGTTTCATCATTTATATTTAAATTAACACGAATCCGATCGTGTATATATAAATATATATATATATATATATTATATTCGTAATTGAGATAATCGACTGTTTCTGTAATTTTTGAATACAATTTCAGGATAGAATTTTTACCGAATAATTATTAAATAATACTACGCGTGTGTATAAATGTTTTCATATCATTTTATAAATTTTTTATCGAGATACGTAATACAAAATTCTCCATTTTGTTTTTTTATTTTTAAATCGAACACTGACCTACATTAAAATTGTTCGATTAATGCGTGTGCGTGTGTATATGCGTGGGTATTAATACCCCTTTAAAGCCATTTAATCATCCTACGCTTATTAATGGTCGTTAAAAGACCATAAATTCCAATATAATTGTAATCATTTTTTAAATTATATTAAAAAGATTGGATAAGGATTTGCAAAGCTGGATAATAACTTTTCAGGTATATATTTGTAGGATTTTTACAACAAAATTAGGCAATTGGATTGATCGGACCCAACTTGAGTCTTCTGCTTTCCTTGGTGACTTCTTTAACCTTTGAACTATCCAGAACCCTCTGGTCAACCTTATTACGAATGTCTATTTTATTTAAAATAGAGATGCTCGATTCTGTATATTTAATTTAACGCATAAACGACTGCAACATTGATTCACCTGTGACTACCAGCAGCGTTTGTTTTTTGCAATGAGGACCACAAGGATCATTAATGAACAGTGTTATTAGATTGTTTTATCTATATTTTATCTTAGAATCGTGGCTTCTAAGAAAAAACATGTAAAACTTGTTTTAATATTTATATTTTTCTTTGATCGTTAACGCATAGTTTATAATCTAACAAAGGTTTCAAATTAACGATATATTTCCTCCCTATTTTTATTAAATGTGATTTACGACTTGAAAGGGTTTATTAACACACGAGTGTTAGAGAACAACCCAGTTCAAGAGATTATTATCATAGAAGTAGATCATCTCATTTATCTCGTTTAATATAAGTTGAATTTGATTCGATATATCGTATCCGGGAGATGGCACTAGTAATCGATAATTTTCAATATGGCGGGAATAAACTAGTTGAATTTCTAACCACTTAATGGCAGCATCGTACGAGGGATGAAAAAGACGTATTATTGGACAAGCATTTTGCACGAAAAAGAAATCGATATGAATTTAATAAGGGAAGAAGAAAAAGCGAGAAAGAAAAATAAAAACAACTGATTTATTCGACTAGTTCATGTCACTACGAGATAAAATGTTATTGGATTTTTCAAGCGTTACAAATTCATTTATCATTCGCGTACGATTTTGAACGGTCCAACGTGAACGTCGAGATTTTTGCTTTGTTTGTTTTAAAGGTTATCAAAGATTTCGAAAAGAAGGAAATATATACGAAGATGTTAAAATTTTAAAAACAACATAAATCGAAAAAGGAAGTTACATATCGATACGTGTTTAAGAATATGTTTATCGATTGGTCATGCTCAAGTCAGGATCGATTTTAAAAATGTCAATCTCGTGCACCGTCGTCTTCGGAAATTTACCGTAACGTCAATGACACGTATGTAGTTGCAATAAGAATAAAAATCTAATACCCGTTTCTTCAAAGATTGCACACGCCAGGCAAGTTCATTCAAGATGCCAGAACAAAATTCGAGCGACCAATATTCCACATTGGTAAGCAAATAATTATTGTTTTCTATTTAGAATTTAATGTTACGTTTAACATAACCTATATTCATAACAATGGATTATTCTATATTGCATCGATTTTAACATAATAATTTCCTTTTTTTCCAAATTTAATTGAATGTGTTTTCTTCTTTTTCTAGGTTGGTTTGATTTACATTTTTAATCTCATCGTTGGGACAGGAGCTTTAACTCTTCCAGCTGTTTTTAGCCGAGCAGGATGGGTTCTTGGTTTCAGCGTAATTTTGATATTAGCTTTTATAAGGTAGGTGAGGAAGATATTATTTTATTGAGAGAATAATTCAAAGTGATGATCCTTTTGTTTTTTTATTATTACAGCTTTATGACAGTCACATTTGTTATTGAAGTAATGGCATCTGCCAATGCAATTGTAACCTGGAGACAAATTCAACATCGAAAGCGTGTAAGCATTTCTTATAGATTTTCTTTTGCTCTAATTGTTTTATCTCTCTCTCTTTCTCTCTCTCTCTCTTGTCAATAATATATTCAACTATATTGCAACACTTTTTTTTAGACAATGCAAACATTGGGTGATTCTTGTACCTCGAATTCTGATTCTGAAGATACACCGTTAGTTACTGTTCATGCAGCCAGTCCAGATAAATCGGATACAACCTATCGGTATTACATAATTCATGATAAAATAGAAATGGGACAAATAGCATCTATTTTTTTCAATAAGTTTGGCACCACTTTGTTTTATCTATGTCTTGCCATTTATTTATATGGCGATTTAAGTATTTATGGTGCAGCTGTAGCTAAATCGGTAGCAGACATTGCTTGTACTTATCAACCTCAAAACTTAACGTGTAATGATACTATACCGGATAACGAAGTTTGTTGGGAAGGTTCTACTTTGGATCGATTGTCTGCATATAGGATGTTTCTTGTACGTTATCTTTTTATCTAAGTATTACATTGCTGATATTATATATATATATATTTATACATTCTGCTGAATTAATAGAATTCATTATTTTTATGTATAGACGACTTTTATTTTTATGCTGGGACCTTTTGTATTCTTCAACATACAGAAGACCAAGTATCTACAATTATTAACTTCAGCGATGAGATGGCTTGCATTTACTATCATGATCGTGTATGCAGTTAGAAAACTTATTATTGATGGTCCACAAGGTAATCCACCGCTTGCAAATATAACAGGTAAGCAGTTTAATGTGCCAATACTAATTCTGCGAGAATTACAATAATCAATAATGTAACTATTTCAGGAATTCCTAGTCTCTTTGGTGCTTGCGTATATTCTTTTATGTGTCATCATTCTTTGCCTGCATTGGTAGTTCCAATTGCAAACAAATCTATGCTTAATCGATCTCTTGCATTGGATTACGTATTGATAGCATTTTTTTATCTTTTACTTGCATTGACCGGGGCATTTGCTTTTGAACATCTCGACGATCTTTATACTTTGGATTTTGGACCACGCGGATCTGGAGATTGTTCAAAAAGTTCAAACATTTTTATGCTCGTCATAGAATATTTTTTGGCATTATTTCCCGTTTTCACTTTGAGCACGAGTTTTCCTATAATAGCTATTACTCTTAGAAATAATTTACAATCTTTATTCTTATACGACGATACTTCTTATTATTTTTTAAGAAAATTAATTTTTCCTGTATTAGCGATATTACCGCCTTATTTGATTGCTATGAGCACCAAAGATCTTTCTAAATTAATCGGCATTACAGGATCGTACGCGGGTACTTGCATTCAATATTTAATTCCTACCTTCTTGGTTTATTATGCTAGAAAAAAAACAAATAAAATCATTGGCCTCGGTGTAATAAATAAATTTGCTAGCCCTTTTGCAAGCAATTTCTGGCTCATCTTCGTAATAGTTTGGGCAGTCGCTTGCATGATTTTAGTATCAGTTAATTTCATACAAATTTATTTCCAAGAAGCATGGATAAAATAGTAGCATATAAATTGTCAATATGAATTGTGCATATAGATCCATGAGATTGATATGCACAAAAAATGATTGAATCTCAAGTATACCATTTGTGTACGTGAAATAATGAAAAAAAAAAAAAAAAAATCCATTTCCGTATCGCAATATTTCATGGCATAAGTTCCTAATATGGGAACCACACAGTCAAATTAATGATAGATAATAATTAGTAATTTAAAAAAAGACGCGAATATATGATAGTGTTATTAGAGATGATGGATTAATATTATTGTACTAAAGTGAAGGATACGAGGACAAATTTGGACTAATTTTAAATTGATAGAGGAAAAGTCCTGCTTTTCTTAACCATTTGAGTTCCAAGGATTTTTAAAAAAATCGTCTCCACAAATGCCAAGAACTTGAATATTCAATTTCACATTGTTTCAACAACATGGCACTTATCAACGAGAAATTTGAAGTCATTCTGATGTTGGGACTCAAATGGTTAATGCAAGCAAGTGATCAGTGGTTTATGACACAGAGCAGGTTTGCATGTGTCGCATAAAAAAAAAAAAAACTTGACAATACTCTTGCACAAGTCAGGATCGACGTTGTACAAGCCAAATCGATAAATGTAAATTGAAATTTTTTTCTACCATATAACAGTTAACTTTAATTGCTGTATTCTAGCATATAGATATATATATATATATATATATATATATATATATTAAAATGTTGATGTCTATTCTATGTAAAGAGGTCTTTCAAATAAGTGATATTTAATTAAACGATAAGGATTTATTAGAGTACGGGGCAGTATTAAAATATTCGGATAAATTTTAAAGAGAAAGTAATTAAATTTATTTAAAAAATGTTCAGAGATTCTATAACTTATTTTAGTCTTTATTTATGTCTCTTTCAATATATACATTTAACTTTTTCAAATTTGTATCGGATGTTTCACCTGTTATGTGTAATGGTGTTTAAAGGCCAAAAGTGAGCAAGTAAATAGAATTAATATCGTCAAAGTGTATTATAATTTAAGTTATACAATAGCATATTATTATTATTATATATATCTATATGTATGCATAAGTCTTAAGATAAATAGTAGAGAAATATTTTTATATAAGTGTAAAACTGCCAAAAAAGTACTGATAGTATATGTTCGAGATACTCTGTACCTGTAAAAATGTAGCGTACAATAAAACAAAAAAGTGCATATATATTTTCCAAAAGAAGCAAAAAACGCGATGCAAAACGGCGAGCGCGGAAATAAATGTATATATATATATATAAATTGATTGTACAAGTTTATTTGGATTTATTTTTTTATATGCATATATACACATTACTATCTCTTATTTATATTATTTCATAGTTCGCACTATAATAATAATAATAGACTCGAGTGTGACAGACTTTTAACACGGATAGAATTCTCTTTTTAAAATTCCAACAACACAAGGTAGCACAGTTAAAGCACATAACTATTCTTTTCAGAAATCTTATAAATTGGTATTGTCTTTTTTTTTCTTCATTTTTATCGCTTCCATAATGTATAGAGAAATAATTACCAAAGTGTAAGATTTCTGTGCGAATGGTCAAACATTCGCTTACATTTATCACGATTTTAATGTCTTAAAAAAAAACGCACGATATTTTTACAATCACACAGGACAAGACATAACAGAAATAAAAGAAAAATAATTACGTCGCATTGAGATATATATATATATATATTAATTCACAGCCGATGAGGCATGAACAAATTTCTTATACGATACGAGAACACAGACATTGTATTAGAAGAAGAAAAAACAAATAAGAAAACTCCCATTAAATATATAACTTATATAAACAGTACAGTCACTCGTAAGTAATGGCAAGTAGATGAAAATTTCCTTAATTGTAATATATACGTATATCGTGTGAAATGATGATTTTTAAAAGAATTTTAAAATAGATTACGTTGTACTTGTATATATATATGAGATATTTTTTCTTCTTAATTTTTGTTTCACGCGGCTCTAAAAAGACATCTTTGATTCCTCTCGTTGATTTTTTTCTGTACACTCGAAAACTTTTTTATTTTCTTTGGTTTGCTCGTGTCCTTCGTTAAAAATTGATAATCGACCTATTTATTAAATCTCGTCATAAAACGAAACTCGTATATATCACCTAAACAGTTTCTTTCTAGTTAATTCTGAACTTTAAGACTAGGATGATTATCGTCGTCCTCTTCATCATCCTTTTCGATTATCAGTCTTCGATTGTACTAAAAGGTATGTGTGCAGAAAGTCTAAATATTTTCGTGAAATTTTTTTCTAAATCGCAAGAACTAGATATATCATTGCACTCAAAAATCATTGTTATATATATATACATATACGTCGTTGATATTCTCTGTTTTATATATCGACGAACAATATCATTTAAGATGTCTAATTGTATCATTTGCTGTGATATTATATTATTTGTATGCATATAAAATATTTTGTAATACTTGGAATTTAATTCATCGGTGAACAGAGTATCATATCAAAACAATAAAAATAATTCATATAAATATATGACCCATTTGTACAGCTAAAACAGTTGTCACAAGACTCTACAAAGTGTTAAAATATTCAACATGTTCAATGTTCTTGGCAATTGCAATTTTTATTATTCTAGTAGCTTTAACTTTTTTAAATGACCAAATATGTTCACATGAACATTTTCTATTCTAGTGTCTTTTATCCATCGATGAAGTGGGTCCTATGTGTTAAGAAATATTCTGTATATAGATTCGCAATGTGAACACTCTAAAAAGCTGTATATCATTGTCTATATCACTACTAAACTTGTTCATTTTTTAATTTGAATTGTTGGCCGTTCTTATCAAAAATCATATATTATTTTTTTTAATTAATTTTTATCTTGTTCTTTTCATAGATATGTGTATTTTTCGATCAGATTAGACTAAAATTGATATTAGATGTAATTTATCGAATGCATATATTATATGGACCATCATTTTATACCATAATCGAAAATATCCGATATTGAAAACATTCAGAGGCAGATTTAATTTTGTACAAACCGGAGATGCATTCGATATCTTTGGCTTCGTTTCTTTTTTTTTCTTTTTTTTTAAGAGAGAAATTTACTTTCATTAAATCCGGTTGTAAATAAATTAGCAGTATGTATAATTAATTATAGTATGTAATTGTTAGATAAATTAGGTCGTTAGTCATAGTTATCCAAATAAGGGCATGGTGCATCTTCGTGACCTATACACTCGATTACCGGATCGTGACTGCTGTCCCACATCCCTGGACCACACTGACGACAAAGTCCAGCGAGCGTGCAAGGTAAACGTACGAGCTGACGAAAATTATAAAGAAGACCGCGTGCCTTTCTTAATATCAAATTTCCATCCATGTACATAGCGAGCAAACTAAAATGCAATAGCATTTCATCGGTTCTAAGATCTTTCGCTATTACATCCTCGGCGTAAACGCACATTATGGCTAAACAAAGGAATAAATGAAAATGATCCGTCAAATAATTGACCCAGCAAGCTTCCCACATGACTAGAGCGACTTCCGTTGAAAATTCACGTTTTAAACACCTGTTATCAGAATAGGAAAAAAAACATTTCATTTAGTTACACATAACAATTTTGTCGAGTCATTATTGCTTTAATTATTATACTTACAAGAGGATCCATCTGTGACAAAACAGTAATTCTAAGGCATCAGTATGTTTTTGTAGATGTGTATAGAAATCCGGTACCATAATTCTAATTAATTCTCGTAGATAGCACAAATTTCTATCCATATCTACATCAGTAGGTGTACAAACTGCTACCGATCTTTGCATCAATCCAGCAAAACACCAAAAGGCATCAATTTCTGAATTAAGTTCCGCCAATAATGGAGCCAATAAATCAGACATTCCTTGTGTGTATCCCAATCGGGGATTGTAAACCGCGTAATTTAGTAAAATATTTCTAAAAATTAGATAATCATTAATTTAAAAAATATTTTTATGTGATGGTAATAATAATTGTAATTATCAGGGTAGCTTTTTACTTCATAACTTCGATATTTGGATTATCCTCGCCAGCGTAATACGGATTTCCTCTATCCGTTCGTACAACATCCTTTTCCACAATACAAACTACATTTCGCCAGAAACGTTCTGCCTGTTCAGGATTCATGTTCAATCTACGTTTTTGAATATCCTCGTATTCTTGTCTCCTAAGGGCATCGATTTGTTCTCTATCTTCGTAAGCGCTTTGATAAGAATAACAATGTAAGAGGAAGGGCCAAACAATTTTTCTTAATGCTGGCTCTAATCCTCCAAAAAATATTCCTTTACGAAGAGCCAAATCATCTTCTACTTGTCCCTTTTCATTTAACAAATCTTTCCATGCCAAAGACGTGATCATTGGAACTTGTCCTTCTTCAGGATGCAATTCGTCACGGCTCACTTCGGGTCGGCAAACCATAAAATGCCTGCATTGTAAATGAATTAGAGTAATGAACATTAAAATAATATAACTTTTTAATAATATTGTAATATACTTGTAAGGAAGAGTTTCTTCTGTATCAGCATCCAATCTAGGATAAAGTAATTGATGCCATTGGTGCAAAGTAGCAGCAAGCCGATCCAATCCACCATGATGAAAATGTAAAATCTTGTATTGGCTTTCTCTGCTTGCAACTACCAATTGTCCACAGGTACAAGCTGGATCTGCAAAGAACAACCTCAACGATCGCATTTCGCTAAGATCAACAGAAAATCTTCTACATCGATGAGCTCTTCTCAATGTAACAGGAGAGGCAGTAGCGCTTTCAGGAAATGTAAGATTGTGTTGTAGTGCTAGAAGTTCAGGTGACCTCATCCATGAAGGTATTTCTTCTGTTGGGAAAAAAAGATATAAAAATGATTAATAAGAAATAATTCAATAAAAGGTTCCATTTAATTACATACCATCTGTATGTGTAGATATCGAAAGACTGCAAGTAGAAGTCAGGGACATACTACGACTCTTGTCATAACATAAATGTATTCGATCCTCTTCCACATTCTTACAATTGTTCTCAGGAGTATCCTTAGATTTTTCTGCATCATTCATGGATTCAGAATGAAAACGATTGACCATATGATCTCTCTCCTTTCTAATGACTCCTGAAGCATCACAGATATTCCCTTTAGCCTCCCCATTGACTAAGTTCCTACATTGAATAGTTTTTTTCTTATTTCGAAACTCCCCAATATCCTGAGAAAAATTGTCTTCCTCTGTAATACGTATCCCAGTAGAAAATCCTCCAGAACATACTCGTTCGCAATCACCACATCTAATAGGTTCTTTGGCTTCCAGACAAATGTCGACTCTCTCTTCTAGAGTTTCTTTCTCGCAACTGCTCTCATAACGTTTCTCTCCCAACTCTGGAATCTTTACATGACAAGACTCACCGATTTCAGAGTCACGATGAGTCACAATACTTTCCAACTTCCTTACATTCAAACTCTCCAAAGTAGTTGGATGTTTGCGTAAAGTAGAATTAGGTATCCAACTAAGATGCAAAGTTGGCACGTCAGAATTTTTATTAAACTTACAGGTTATGGTCATGTATCCAGGGTGATGCACCACGTCAGAATTCTGACGCGTCACAGTTGGCGGATGTACGCAGACATTGTTCTTGCAAAACAATGCCTCACCATCCTGATAAATAGTACGACGTTCATCCTGGCTGCCGTCGCCGAGGATGTAACTGCTCGCTTTCCTTAGAATACTCGGAAGCGGCATCTTCGTCTTTTAACAAACCTCCCTCGTTTCGTATCATGGACTTCCTAAGTTTCTTTTTTCGATTTTCTCACCCCCTTTTCTTTTTCACCCTTTTTCCAAGCCTTATGATTTATTGTTTTTTTTATTTTTCATTCACGATAGAATCACAGTTAGTAATATTTGTAATATGTTCACAATTAATGTGACACAAAAAAACAGTCTTTTGATAATCCATCCGATAAAGATGCATTCTAATTGTTTTTCTTTTTTCTGCACCCTTAATTATTTCGAACGTTTTTATTTGACGTTTCGACTTGCGTAAAGTTGTCAAAGTTTTTGAGAATGACTGGTTTTATTTGATAAACGATCTTTGTTTTGTTTTCTAATGGAAATACTCGTCAATTCTGAAAAATATCAAAGATGTTATGTATATATTTAAATGAAGCTCTCGGTTGAGGTGTCGATGCAAGAAAACGAAATGAAAGGAAGGTGGCGAGTTTCTCGATTCGCGCCATGCGCTCTGAGAACTAGGAAGAACCGCGGGGTGTCCGTGATTTCTAAATGGGCCACTTTCCGGTACGATAAAAAGCCTGACACACGTTGACCTCGATCCATTATGCAACGTTCTAACTTCCGTCTCTAGAATAAATTGCTATGTTTACCAAGTATTCATGATTTCAATTATTTAATTACGTTGCTTCAATTTTATTTCAAATTTGTAAAAATGATGAACACGCATTTCGATTTATCGAAATTCAAAATGAATGCATTATCCTCGTACGGTGATTGGACGACGATCGATTAACCTGACCAATTGTAATTAATCATTTCGATGTTCACTTTGATCAAATCGAACGAACTTTTTTTAAATTGTATTAAATAAATTTAAGAAAAAAATCAATGCATTTTCGATCGCGAGTTCACGTTGATATAAAAAGTAAAAAGTTGGAAAATAATTTCAGATAATAATTTAATTAATTGATAATGTCGTTTCGATATATATTTTTTAATTATTAATCACGCCAGTTGCGCAATCGAGAGATTTCAAATGAGTTGCAATAGAATGCACTTTTATCAAAAGACATTTTTTTTCTTAGTTATTAAATAAATAATAATAATGTGTTTGTTATGTTAGTAAATTAGAAACAATATAGATTATATTTACGCGTATCGGAAAAATTATTTATGACGTGGTTCGTGGTTCGAGAAAAGTTTTGGAGATGCACATTCCGATTGCATATACAGGTAAAAATAAAATATTGCATTCGCGACAATTATTATTATTAATTTTATTTTTATTAAAAATCTATTTGATTTTTAATCAATACATATAAAATTACCTATAAAATAATCAGGTATTAAAAAAACAAAAAATGCGCAATCGATGCAACAATTGTTCGTTAACAAAAAAATAAACGAAAAATATTTTTAACAAAACGTGTATGCAAAAAAGTTAATCCGAAAAAATCTTATATTTCATTTAGAAATATGTTTCCTCGACGAGAGTTCACGTTCGATCGTAAACGACGAATTATGCATGTCCAGGTCAAAGGTTCCTGGTTGCTTACAGAGAATAATATCAATAACAAAAAGAATATCTTAAAATAACAAAATCACAAGTTAAGGTCTTCCATATAGGACACCATTTATGTAAAATAAAAATCTATAAATTTAATTATAAAAAAATACTGATGCAATTATGAAAACATGTCACGTATACACTATTGGTTAAAAGTTAGGTATTATTTACTGTATATAAATATTTCAGCATTTTCTAATGTCCACAATTATTCTTGTATACAGTTTAATGCAATACTTGGAATGAACTTTTTTTACTAGAACATGTTTGCCAACATATATATCTCTACAAGAAGCATAGAAAAATATTCAATCGAAAAACTTCGTAAAGTTAATTATTTTGAAAGGTATTATTAAAAATAACGATAGTATAAAATATAGTACTGTTAAGTTTTGTTGACAAATCAATTTTTCTAGCCAATTTACACAAAAAATTCCAAACTTTTAACCAGTAGTGTATATGCAGAGAGGAGATCAATGTTGTTTAATAATATACGAATAAAGAGATACGAGAATTAGGGTCAAAAGACGAGAGAGAGAGAAAAAAGGAAGATGATCACTGTAGATTGTCGAAAAATTAAAAACATAACACACGTCATACGTACTTTAAGCATCACTTCTTGTTCATGAATTCTACTCAGCTACGCGACGCCTTCGTGTGGTCTTCTATCAAAATCTTGTATAAAATAATAAATAGAAAATAAAAAAATGCATTGACTCGTTCTTAGTCGAATTAAAAACAGAAAACGATCGTTTTTGTAACGGAACGTAAAACGTGTTTAGCCACATGCTAAGGTTCGCGCTGCTTCTTCCTTCCTTCTCTCTTTCTCTCTATCTCTCTCTTTCTCTCTCTTACTCAGGATCAATATTTCCATTTGATCGCGAAACCTGCGTGCTTTTTGCCCTACTACCCGAGCTACCGACATACCGTTCACGTTGCATCTCCGCTTACTCTTTTTATTGATCTTCGAGCTTTGCCCACTCGTTCGTTTCGTTTCCCTCTTTTCTTCTTTCTATCCTCCACTCTCTTAAACTGTTGGTCTCCTCTTTGGTTTCAATTTCCCTAGAGAGAGTCTATATTTGTCTCTCTATCTCAATAGTGTATATGAATTTTTCTCTTAAACTTTATCTTCCTTCTCATTCCTCTAACCAATCGATATTATTTGTCTTTTTTCTCTCTTTTATATTATTGAATAACATCGAATGCATGACTCAATAGTTATATCGGATTACCGAACAATGAATTTTAGTATATTACTTTAAATAATATCATTGCATTCGTTGTTATTGGTCAATAAATGGAATACAATTAAAGGTGGTCGGTTTAGTAGATTTTGTGTAAAATACTTTTTACACAGTTCGCCGTATCTAAATTCATATACTAATACGTTTCGTAATTAAACATTATTTTATAGTCTTTGTTTGAAACTAATCCACATTTAGGTCCACGTTTCAAATAAGATATAGTAGAGTATGCAGAGAAATGGAAGTCTTCTTGCAGGTAGCCGTTTATTAATAAATGTCCTGTTATAGCTTCTGCAGTTTCTCTAGAAAATGGTGGAATAGGCACTTTGGCAACTCTTAATAAAGATGCTCCTTTACCAAACCAGGCGTCTATTAACTTTAATGACGTTAATCTTGTCTCGCTTTGAATTGCGTTAGTAATTATTTCGTACAAATGTCTACAATAAGGTGCTACGTTTAATTCCTTCTTTTCCTTTGGTTTCCGACAATGATCGCACATTTGAGCGCAATCCTTGGTTTCCCAATTTTCTTCAAAATGTTTAGCTATCAGGTTACGTCTACACGAATTTTGATCCAAACAATATTCTAACATTTTATATAAATTCTGTAAACCAACTTTGTCTTGAAACACCATGGTACTCAATTTAAACACGTCTGGTAATCTAAAGAAGACGATACATGCTGATTTTTTACCATCTCTACCAGCTCTTCCACTTTCTTGATAAAAATTTTCCATAGATTTAGAAATACAATGGTGTATAATAAACCTAACATCTGGTTTATCTATGCCCAATCCAAATGCGATAGTAGCTATCACAGCTTGATATTTACCAGATATCCATTTGGCGTATACCTCGGATCTATAATCTGCTTCTAACATCGCATGATAGCATCCTACTTTTAATTGCAAACCACGTAAATCCGTAGTTAATTGCTCAGCATCTTTAATAGTAGTCGTATAAATTATACCAGATTTATCCTTAAACCTATTTTTTAATAAATTTTCTATCATCGCGAGACAGGTGTCCTTATCTGCTGGCTTCCGACGTACTTCATAATATAAATTCGGTCTGTTAAATGGAGCTCTCAAAACTAGGCATCCTTGAATGTCCAACATTTTTTGTACATCTAAAATAATTTTAGCAGGAGCTGTTGCAGTAAGACCAAGAATTGGTATACCTGGAAACATAGATTTTAAAATTCCAAGAAACTTATAGTCCGTTCTAAAATCATGTCCCCATTGACTGCAACAATGCACTTCATCTATTGCAAAACGATCTAATCTTTTTAATTCGTACGCCTTTTGTAACTTGCTCATAAAACGATTAGACTTGGCCATGTATTCCGGGGTAACATAAATTAATTTAAGATCCGATTTTGTATCTATCATAGAATTCATTATGGTCTTAATATTTTCTTTATTTGCCTTTGCATGCAACATTAAAGCTTTTATGTTAAGTTTGCTCAATCCATGTAATTGATCCTCCATTAATGATAGCAAAGGAGAAACTACTATAGTGATGCCTTTACTAATTACAGCTGGCAATTGGTAACACAAGCTTTTGCCACCGCCTGTAGGCATAATTAAAATAACATCTTCATTAGATAAAACTGCATTCATGGTCGGCAATTGTAACGGTCTCATGTCTTTAACTTTAAAAACATCTTGTAATGCTTTCCTCAAATTTTTTGACCATTTAAAGTTTTCGCCTCCCCAATTATTTCTCGATAGGGACAAGCTTTTTTTCAAAATTGCATCATCTTGCAATTTTTGTTTACGTTGAATTAATATTTTCTTACGGTCTTCTAGTTTTTGCAATTCTGTTTCTATTTGTCGCAATTCGTAATCGATAGCAGCTATCTCGTCTTTTTCAGTAACTGTAAAATAACATAAAAGATAAGACATCAATGATGCAGATAGAGAGACAAACAATATACAAGGGTGGGTTGAAAAGTTTTGAGCTTCAACAAAAAAAATTATTATTTTATACATTAAAAAAAGAAAATCTCTCAAAACTTTTCAACCCTACCACGTATATATATGCAGGGTGTCTTATTTTTACTTATATAGTATATGTCAGTAACATTTTAAAGAAAATACTGAGATACCATGTATGCATATTGTTTAAATCGTTAGTAGCATTTATAGCAATAACATTAACAAAATAAATGAAGAAAAAATATGAAAAGAATGTACCTTCATTATCATCATCGTCATCTATGGTTATAACATCTTTCGAACTACATTCAGACATTATAAATAATTTGTATATTTATCAGTTATATTTTATTAGCTATCTATTTTTTTTTTGTACCAAGAGTCTAACCTAAATGAAGAATAATGCCGGTATTGTATGCATTTTTCTTCTGTTTCGATCAGCTGACTTTTAGTAACTGCACTCATTCTTATCAGGCAAGTACATAACCTTACTTCTACATCGAGTTCCTTGCTTTTAATTAATCGCATTTAAGAGCTTTTGTGTGTTTGTTTAAAAATTATTGATAAATTGATAGTTAAAAAAAAGAAAAAGAAATAAATAATTAATAAGAAATAAAAGAAATGTTACTTCGTGCGTGTCCCACTTGGCTAGAAAATCAACTCGTTTCCTTGTACTTCAAGGGTATTGCATTTTTGATCTTTACATATTGCAACGCTTTATTATTTTAACTCTTTGTCCAATAATATTTTCTTATCAATAATTGCATGATTAAATGATTAATTACAATTGCATTTCATTGGGTATCTCATTTCTATACTTGTGTTATTATCTTAGAAATAAATTCAAACATAATTTCTTTCTAATCTCTATTAATCTGCTTGTAGATAATTATGGCTTTTTTATAGTTTATATTTTATATGACATCGTCTTATAACAACAGTTATCTATATTAATATTTATATCTATATATATCAACAACTTTTTGAGCTGAGTATCTACAATACATGTAGCACATAATAAATTTTTGGTGCTGGGAAATATTTAGCTCACGCTTGGTATCTTTTCTTAGTAAATAATTATTAATTTATTTAATAAAGCATTCAAAAAGAGTAATAGAAATTTTGTTCTATATTGTTAGCACGAAGTATTACCACAAATGGTTTTCGTGGTTCGCATAGTAACTCAGTGTTAATAGAACAACCCGAAATGAAGATCCAAATATTATCTGCTCTTCAAGATAATTACATGTATCTCGTATGTAAATTAATTTGTTTTATTACCCCTTGCACTATGATTTATGTGAAGTTGTATGCCATATTTGCAAATAAGATTCTTATGTAAAAGAATATTCACCTCTAATAGAGAACTCGTATTTTCCATTAGTATTTTAATATCAAAGTCTCATGCATCATTATAGTGCAAGGGAATAATTATTGCTAGATATTAATAGTCTTCTATCTAATTAAAGATTTATGATTGTTTGTAAGATTATCGATGAGAAATCCAAAGATGCTGCCATAGTAGATCCTGTTGATCCAGATGCAGTTGATTTAGCAGTTAAACAAAATAATGTCAATCTTACTAAAATTTTAACGACGCATCATCATTGGGATCATGCAGGAGGCAACGATAAAATGGTGAAAAAGTTTGATAATTTGCAAGTATATGGCGGAGATGATAGAGTGGGAGGACTTAATTGCAAAGTACAACACAATGATACTTTTAATATTGGAAGTTTAAACGTTCGATGTCTTGCAACACCATGTCACACGACTGGACATATTTGTTATTACGTTACAGGAGAGGGAGATACTCCAGCTGTATTTACTGGTAAAATAATTTAGATAGAATATATGCATTTTCATGTAAATCTACTGATAGCTTAATTTTCGATTAGGTGACACATTATTTGTGGGTGGCTGTGGTAGATTCTTTGAGGGTACTGCTGAACAAATGTATAAAGCACTTATCGAAGTTTTGGGTAAACTACCGGATGAAACGGTGAGATGATTGTTATTATCTTGTCAAGAAAAATATACAATTTATAGTATAATAGGAATGATATATATATATGTATATTGTAGAAGGTATATTGTGGACATGAATATACTGCTAATAATTTGAAATTTGGTATTCACGTTGAACCAAATAATGAAGCTATTCGTCAGAAAATCGAATGGGCTAATTTACAGCGTGGAAAGAATACTCCGACTATACCGAGCACAATAGAAAACGAGAAACTTACAAATCCGTTTATGCGCGTCCACGAACAATCCGTTATGGAACATGCTAAACAAAATGATCCCATAAAGACGATGGCATTTCTACGTCAAAAGAAGGACAGTTTTAAGGCATAATTTATTTTCTAAAATATTGTGTTCTCTTATATTACTTCCAATAATCTAATATAAATAAAAATATGTGGGTTATATTTATTAAGGAAAAGAAGAGGCAAACAAGGGATTTGCGTTTTTATATAGAATATCTATTATGCTATACAATTACATATGATCGTAAATACAAACGTACAATTAAAGATAATACATATATATTTATATATATATATACAGAGAGTAGAAATTAATTAAAGTAATCACTACGTTTTATTTAAAGACATTTGACTCGGCGGATCTTCTGTTTTTTTATTATAAATTTGCATTTCTGCAACATACTTCTCTTTGGAACGTTCGTACATATCATAATACACCTATAAAAATATTATTATAGACATCATAAAGAATATATAGAGAGGAAAATTAAGAAGAGTTTTAACAAGGATACCTTTTTATCTTCAGAACTAAGGGATTTCCATGTAGTCGCCAATTGTCTAGTTAGTTCCTGTTTACTTGGCTCAGGATCACCAGCCAACCTTTCCATTACACGAGGTCTTTGTTCTTGGCAAAATTGAAAGAAGGGATTCGCAGGTCGTTTGGGTGCATTGGGATCTGCCTTAGTACCTTTCCGCTTCGTTGCTTTTTTTGGTTTATCTTCTTTAGAATTATTTGGTGCAACTTTAGTTCCTTTCTCTTGTTTCATAGTTGATTGAAACACACTGTTCTCTTCTAGAACACCCATAGGTGCTTCCCTCCACCGATCTCCATGCTGATCCAGTCGATCGATTAAGAATCTGTGTATTTGTAAAACGTATATATAGATATATATGTTGTTTTTATTATTAATTAGATTAAGAATTGTTTAGGCATGCAACTTAACCTATAGCACTAACTTTTTTTCCTTTCTTGTTCGTTTAAGTAGTTTCCTTATTTTCTGAATACGAAAAACCAATCTTTCGTTTTCCTACAACACGAGTTAATATATAATAATAAATAAATAAAATGTTTTATGTAAATACTTAAAAAAAAAAACATGACACGTTGAAAAACAATATATTAACCTGTTGCAATATTTCACATCTATCCAACAACATTTGATATTTTCTTTTGTAAACGTCAAATACTTCAGGCTCTATATCGTATTCGGATTCGTCTGACATTATAAATATATTTTTTTACAAGGAGATATATAAATTATATTTGTTTTTTTTCTTTCTGCATTTTAACCACTCTGTTGATAATCTTTTAGCGCCTTCAATTTTTATAAGTTTATTTGGAAGGAGATATATTATGTAAGGAAGATATATTCTTTACCGACGTATGATTGTTACGATGGTAAAGAAGTAATTCTACTTACCGATGCATGATTGTTACGATGGTAAAGAAGTTATTCTTCTTACCGACGCATGATCATGACTATACAGAAGTCTGCATTATCCACAAATGTAAAATGAGATATAATACCACGAGCTATTATTAAATCCTATCTAATTTAATAGTTAACGTCGTATAAAAAGTAATTGTTCATTTAAAAAAAAACATACGCGAAAGGTCATTATTTGTCTTATTTCGATAAAAACAAATTGCTGGGCGTTGATGTTTGGAAAATGCATACTTCTTGTCGTCGGAATAAACGAATACAAGAATGAACCTTAATTTATAATAAAAAATAAAAACAAAAAATAAAACAAAATAAGAGAAAAACGAAAGATAGAATAGGAGTTCGTGAACGCTAATCATATAGTTCTTATATTGCTTTGCTAGTCGACTAATCGTACCAGTCAAAAGAAGGGTTGGTTGTTTCGTGCGCATGCGCGTTAGTTAAAGGGAAACTCACCCTCGTTTGGTGAAGAGGGGAGAGATAAAAGCAAGCGAGAGGGTAGAGAAAAGAGATAGGAAATGGGGGGAGAGTAAGAGAGAGAGAGAGAGAGTGAGAGAAAGAGAGAATAATAGAAGGAGATAGAAGAAGAGAGCATGTTAGAGAAGGGGGTAGAAAGAGAGAGAATGAGAAGGGGGTAGGAGACAGGGAAGCAACGGCGAAGAAAACGCATATCAGCGTCGCGTTCGGTGTGGCCTCGACGGCTTTTCGTCTCGTCTATAGTTTTCTCTCCCTTCGTTTCTCTCGACATTATTAAGCGTTATTTTCCTCCCTCTCTTCACTCTCTATGTCACTCTCTCTCTCTAATACTTTCTTTCTTGTGTAACTTCCTCCTTCATCTAAATAATCTCATTCGGTCTTTCAAGAAACGTCTTCGTATTTCCGCTCGTTCATCCTCGTCTATTTCCGTCCGTTCGTTCGTTAGTCTTATCGAAGACAGCAAGTTAGAAAGAGAAAGAAAAATAGATATAGATAGAGAAAGAAAGAGAGAGATAAAGATAGATAGAGAAAGGGAGAGAGAGAGAGAGAGAGAGAGAGAGAAATTTAGCCGCTACGTTCGTCACAAACGTAGCCCTTTGTTTATCGGTGTTTTTAACCCTCTAGTTGGTTTAATCCGTTCTTTCAGTTTCGGGTGTTGCTCAGAATATTAAACCGGTCGTGTATTACACCTTTGCCCAATTAATATAGTTCTCATATTTTTCTCATCGAATTTAACGCGAATTTCACGCAAATACTGGTGTAAGATGCAGTGCGTAGCAGTTTTTTAGCATTCGCTTTGGATCACCAAAGCAGAGCCTGGGTGAGTAACAAAAGTGGTTTACGTTTGGTGGATGTATGATTGCGTGTTTTGGAGTAGCTACTGTCTGCTACCGTGTGTATATGCGCGCGCGCGTGTGTGTGTATGTATGTTGTGCGTGCACGTGTATTTATATCATTTGTATCGGGTGTAGATGTATTCCTCACGGAAATGTAAAAGTTAAAAATACATCTTGTGTGTTGGATGAAGAATAGAGGGAGAGAAAATACTTGCTCGAGATTAGGGGTATTTAAATATCGCTAGAATCTTGAAATCTTTGTTTCAATCTTTCGCGTACGAGGAATGCCGGGTTCATTTTGGCTTGACCATTGCTGATTATTATCTCACGGATCGTAACGCGGATACGTTTTTATACGTTTCAACGTAAACACCGACATAAACGCGTCGTCAATTTTTATTAACTCCATTAAAGAGGATTTATTATATGCTGTATATATGTGTGTGTGTGTGTGTGAGGATATAATTCAGATACATTAAAAGTATAAAAATTACTTATATTAAAATGTGGGTCAAAATGATTCGGGATTTTATTTATGAACAATTCGTAATTCGCGATTTGAGGTATTCGTAATGTAAGTACTAATGGAACACATGTTTTGTTTGCGAATGATCAATGAGGAAAACAAACGATCAAAAATGTTTGATTAAAACAGTTATTATCTGCGTGTGGTGGTGGTGGTGGTGGGGGTGGTCATTTACGCGCTTTATGCATGAGAACACGATGATGAAAATATACAAAAACGTATTAATATTTATGATATTATGATTGAGGTAGCAAGATGTTTTATGATTACTTACTACATTATTAGAATTGTTTTAAGCTCGATATTTGAAAACAAATAACAAAATCTATTCGAATTGGAAGACTGCAACTCTCTTAATTAATTATTATTCATGTATGATAGACAATCGTGAATATATTTTTTCTAATTAACAGCAATAAACGTACTGCATGATCATCGAGATATTATTGATGCATCAAACGATTTAACAGAAACCAAATGGGGGGAAAGAAAAGTTTTAAATGCATTTGAATGATCCGTATATAAAAAATACTCGAATTTTTCAATTCGTACACATTTAAGATTCGAGTTTAGAATTTGTAATGAATAATTTAAAGTAGCTCGGATATATCGAAAATAGTGAGAACACTTCTTCTCGAATGCTTTTATTTCCTTTTCTTTTCTGTTTTTTCTTTTTTTTCCATTACATATATTTTCTTTCATTATTATTCTTATTATATTCTATTCGATCTTACGAGTTTTCGAGTATGATATTATATTTAAATACGGATCGTATGTATATAACACGTGTCGTAGCAACCCTCGACAAAAGGGTGAAATCAGAGAGAGAAAGAGAGAGAAAGAAAGAAAGGGGATGAAAGGGGTGGGATGGGGAGGGGAGGGGAGGGATAAAAGAAATTGGTAGAAGAAAGGGAAGAAACTATGCGGATCGCGTGGAAAGGAAAGCTAGCTTTTCTTCTTCGACGAAGTAAGGGAAGCCTCCTCCTCGCGGATCAATAGCAGCGGCCGTTGCGGTCGACACGATCAGCTGATTGGCCTATTGCTAATTCTGTTTACAAGTACTCTTGCCGGCATTGCGTGGATGGGGATGAATATACATTTAAAAGTGCATAGATACATTGTAGGAACGGAACGCGGAACACGGTAGAACGAAAGAAACAAATTTCGACCAATCACAATTGTAA